TATCATAAACATTATTTCAAATTAAAATGTTGCAAGGAACTTGTATTCTTATAAGAGGATATTGTTAAGCTTTTCGACAGAAAAATACTACAGAAAATATTAAACAATTTTATTATATTTGAACGCTTTTAAATGCCATCGATATAAACACAAACTTAAATAATATAGACAAAAATTATGTTCACTATAACCAGTTCATCGCTCCCCGCTGCTACATGAAGTCTTTCCATAAAAATAAATACAAAAAAATATGAAATTGTTTAATCAAAGCAGATTTAACCAGCTAAATCTATTACAATACCTGTTGATCTTCTTGCAAATTTCCTTATTTATGCAAACTAAGAAGTCTGCCGGTATGGTTCGAGATATATTGTGAGGTCAGGCTGAAATTGGTAATTTTTCTCTCTGCGAAACGTTTCAGGACATTTGGGCATATCTTTTATTACTGCGATGAATAGAAAAGGTCGAAGTACTTCCGAAATACTGCTTAGCATAGAGGATAACATGATATTACCAATATAAATTATCTAGTTGATATCTTAAAAAATGTAATAAACCAAATAGGGTAGAGAAAGTAAAGTAGAAATACCTTTACATGGCGTGATACTTTCGTATTACGAAATAAAAATACTATTTTTTTCCCCTACTATGGCTCCACTGATACGTCAGTGATATAAACTAATCAAAGAGCTACTATTTCCGTACGTTTTAACGGCACTTCGTTGCAGTTGCTATCAAGATGTTATATAAAAATAATTGTGCGTTCGTGTTATACAAGTTCGAGAATCGTTCGCCGGACTGAATCGAAAGTACGTAGATCAATTACATGTAACTTTCCAATAAGGCGTTTAAGACACTTCCGAATGTCTAATTTCTCTAATTGTGTTTTCAAATCGATCCAAGACAAGTTATAAAGAAATATTTCAATTCTAACATAGTTTAAACAATTGCAAAGTGTCCTCTAGAATAAATTAATGTAAATACGTTACTTAGGGCTACAGTGAGTTTCAGCCAACAATAAAGTTTAATTACAACTTATCGAAGTAAAAGGATTCACTGTGGTAGGGCCGCGCAGCAGCTTCCGGGGAGGTAAAAAGCTCTCACAGAAGACCAACGTGAAGTGGAAGTGTTATTCTTTCGCGTTTCGTCTGGTGAGTGAGGTAACCGGGGCCCACTTTTTAAATTTGATAGACTTTTTAGGTGAAGTGTTTGTTGCCAACCTATTACATAAAAAAATGCAATGAATTTGTTTTCACTGTTTTTCAAAAGAATGTTTTCATTCAATGCTTGCTCTTCTGCACCCGCTAAACTGTACAATGCTAAAACAAACCATAATCAAGTACATTCGCGCAACAAGCTTTCGCTGTGATAGGTTCATGATTTTTGAGAGTAATTTTCAGTATCAGCCGGGAAGGGTGGGGTAATGGCCGGAGCCCCGTGCGACGGAGCCATCGCTAATTAGGCCCATTAGACCTCGCTACAGGTGCCTCACTCAACGTCGCCGATTTACTCGCCCCATCGCTTCTGAAGATACCGAACCGTATCTCCAATTTGCGCCTCCTGCTGACAGAGTTTAACTAGCTACTTTCTGTCTGCCTGCTCATAAAGTGATCATTAAGTTAATACGGGAATCGGCTAACGGCCGCGGCCAGATAATGTTGTTCACGGAGCATTGATAACTTTAAAAATGTAATAAACCAAATAACGTAAAAAAGGTCGTATAAAAAGTATTATATTACAATGTGTTTCTCACGTTTTGCTAAAACTTATATTTTATACTATTCCCTGTCCAAGTGTAGTGAATCGCTTAAAGACACGATCATGACTTTAAATCGGCAAAAGTTAAATAATATTTATCAATTATCTCCATATATATGAGAACCCAACTGTTGGGCAAAGCCCACCTCTGTACTGAGGGTAACGTACCACCCAAGTATTTCCTTAAAAACAATATAAGGATTTACTTAAAGACGAAATATTAATAGGCATAAGCTTTAGCAAAATGTATATGTAGAGATATAATGATTTATAGAGTTTTTGCGACTACTACGAGTGCTACTCTATCAATATTTTGAACCGTTGGGAATTAAAATAAAATTTTTACATGAAAAAGTCCATAAATTAATTTCACAAAGTGTTTTTTATAACTGTGCAAAATAACGTTAATGCTGTCTCAGCAAATGAACGATATTAATCTAAAAGTTGTTTAGAATTATTATTATTATTACGTCTTTATTTGATGGGAAGACGCGTAAATAGGATTAACTTTATTGTAAACGGCAACGAGGATGAAGTTGTCAAAATTGCTATGAAACACGAATTACCCTCGCAATTAGATTTAGTCGCTCAAAATAGCAAACAGTTGCTATTGTTAGATTGACTTTTGAAAATTAGATTAGCGCAGACTGCTACAGATTATCGACTACGTAAATTTAGGCCAAGCGCTAGAGACAAGGCACCGATGAAAATCGTCTCTAGTATTTCAAACAGTTCAATAAACAAACCAAAGACAACTTTGTCATTTTACATTGCTCAATCTTGGTAATAAAAATAACTATTTATATATATATATTTTTTGTTATTCCTAATTTTAAAGTACTTGCCGAGTCCATGAAACTGATATATACAATGTGAAACAGGAGGGGTGGATCAACGGTTTTGGTGTGGTCAAGGACGTCACTACCTATCGATATACCCCACTGTATGTTTACCGTTTCTTAATGAACTTAAGTATACAGCGTGTAGTTATCATCGCGACAATAAATGAACACACGTCTAACGCTACTTGCTTATAATCATAAAAAATTTAACGTTAAAAAAATCCTTACTTAAAAAAAATATTTTTCAAACAAACTAATTAAGTAAAAAAGAAACAAAATTTGTAACACCTATACAACTACAACTAACTGATTCATACATTCAGAGACTTTTTCATTCGTTGCCACAGCGTCCCATTACAAGCCTCTACTTCTAACAGTATGTTTTGTCTCTTATAAATTCATTCAACCCATTCATATGCTTTGTGATCTTTACAAATGAACTTTACGTTACAGTTTTATACGTAAGGATGTTCTTAAATTCTTTGTTATGGAAAATTTCATAACTCTATAAATATTGATGTTAAAAAAGTGTAAATGATTAATACAATATAAAAAAAATCCTCTATATGTTGTGTTCATTTATTGTCGCCATTGTAAAGACATGCTGTATAATATGATTTTACAGCATGTTAAAGTACCTGGAGGACCTGGAGGGGGAGGTTTGTTTTTTTTTTTTGTAAATCGTGTTTTTTGGAAATTACATTTAGATACAAATTACTGAGTAATGAAATATGCATAATATTTATCGATCTTACCGACGTAATAATAAAAAAATATGAACTGATGTTTTCAAAAAAGAAAGAATTTTAAAGAAAGGGCAAAAAAAAAACAAAATAACAAATCGACAAAAAATAAAAAATAAAGAAAGCAATGATCTGGAATCCACAAAAAAAGTAAAAAAATTAGTGTGTAATAACCGCGGCCGTCTGTTTTGGTGCCGCCCGAATACCTACCGAGCTATTATAAAAATTTTTTTTGCGGCAAAATTTACCGTCATATTCGATTTTTCGCCCTATTCAAGTTTTACATAACAAAAGTTATTAAAAACTCTAGGTTATTATAAGTACTGGACCCAAGCTACCTGAACCTTTAAACCCAGAAAATGAGACATCCATGTAAATTACATTATCTATCTCACTCTTACTTTGTTGTGGTTGGCTAATACTTATCCGCCATTTTGATTTTTTTGTGAATATTGTTTCTAGGATATAAATAAATAATATAATAGTCAGTATTTGTGAATATTAAGAAAACACTACTCAGTATGAAATTTCAACATATTCATGCAAGTACTGGAAAAATAATAGAAATCAGGCAGAAATTAATATACGCGTACTATCTGGGACTCGTTAAGTTTTAAGCCGAATTTGCACCCAACTTCTTTTAATGCGTAGCCCGGAAATCTGCGTTTGACACTTTCGCTGAAAATTTTTATGCTCTAATCATCTAAGGTTCTGCCAATCGGAGAGTTGTACATTTGCTTTATTTTTTTTTTTGACGAATGTGTTCATTGAACTGGAATTATTGTATTTTGCAGGTACGTACAGACGAGTCTGAGTATTCGGAAGCGGTAAAGTATACAGTCAGTTCAGATAAATTCTTTGTTTTACATTGAAAATAATGCCACATCATCAGTGCTGAGTAAAGCCGATCACCGGGCCTAACTTTACATTTATATGATAAGGGTCTCAGTAGTAATAAAAAATATCCCCTCCTGCTCCTGTTTTATACTGCTCTTATCCCTCGTTTGTGGGGTCGGCAAAACATGCGAATCATGTTATTAATGGATACTGGCTAGGATACGACCGGCCGCCCCGACGTTAGATCTCCTTGAGAACAAACAGCTAAATTCAGAACAATTATCTGACGGTCGCAAAACTACTTGTCCCGTATGGGAATCGAACCCACGATTCCTGGCACCAAAGCCCATAGATTAACAGCTACGCCAGACAGTCAAAATAAAAAATATATGCTTACATAAATAAAGCAAACCCTGGTAAGGCCTAGGTTTTATTGTAACGATGATCCCCTAACTACCATGAAGGAATTAAAAAGTAATTACGTTTTCTAAGTAAACAAGTAAGGACATAGAAGAGAAACATTGGCACACTTGATGATCATCGTTATCCATGGAAGTTTGAGACACCATAGAAGTCGAATGAGCGTAATCTCCTTTCAAGTGGGAAAAAGCTTTCTTTTTTAATGTCTCTAAGTCTGTACCTGTCCGGATGTACTGGCAACAATTTCCCACAAACACCTACATGGCAAAAGCTGTACAGCAAAAGACGATACATAATTGGATTCTTACGGAGAGATTTACGAGTGTGCGTACGTGTTACAAGATGGCCCGTGGGTAAACACAGACGGCGCCGGTGTGCTGCATGCGAGAACGTCGCACTAGGAATCTCCAATTAAATCGGTGGGTTCATAACGTTTGTCGGGTACGGCCCGCATTATCCTGACACAAGGAGTAATCACGGTCGGCTTAGGGCCGGCGACCACACGCAAACGTTTTAGTGCATTCTCACCCACACTGAGGCGAGTTGACGAAATTGATCGGGTACTGCACTTTGCTCTTACGATGTGTTCAACTTTCCGCTTATTACATGGAGAGCGTACAGCGAAATATTACACGACTGCCAGAGAAGGGCAATGGTTTTCGAGTGTATGCATGTCTAATTTTTTGACACTGTATAGACAATGGCCCTTGTGGATTTCATCATATGAGATATCAGTAGATTCGTCTCAGTTGTAAGAGTGACATGAGACAAAAAAAATATTTCGTGTTTGTGTATTCGAAAAAAATTTTGTCATTTCGTTAGAGTCCAAAACATCAGATTAAGTGGAACGGTACCAACCTCCGGTTATCTCTGAAAAAAGTGACTTTTCGAATCCAAAACGCCAGTTAAACGCCGTTTTGAATTCGGAACTAATAATTAGTAGTGACGTGGTCAATGTCGAAACTTAGACGAAGAAAACATCCGTTTATTCCCGATGGATGACTCACGACACGGTATTCCCATTTTCTGTGTTCATCATAGAAAACATCGCAATGCGTCCATGGCGTTTTATTATCGCCACGTATTTATAAGCGTACAAGCGTCGACGCGGAACGGACGTGTCGATTTAAACCTCGGCGCTGTCTCAAGGCGTAAACATTTGTACAGTAACCTATCGCCGGGCTTATTGACTGCTATATGATAGCCTTTACGAGACACGTAGCTGAATGCTTCAACGCCTTACCTCAAGTGGCAATAAGCATTATTAAATTGCCATAGCTCAGGTCACTGCTCTTATAGTTTCGTATGTAAGGAAGTCGGGCTTAAGACGACTGAGAACTTATTCAGTTTAACTGATAAAATTACATGCAACTCTCCTGATAATTCAAAGTCGAAAACTTTCTTTCAACATTGGAGCATTACATTCACTTGTTATTTGTCAAAATACTAATACCGATTAAGAAAACAAAACCCACTGACTTTAGAAGAACCGGCGAGAAAAACTCAAGGGGTTTGTTTTTTAATCATGTCATAAACATAAAAATGTTAATATCTACAATGATTATAGTTATTAAACTCATATACTTTTGGTGTTTCAAACGAACGCCTTGTCCTAAGTGTAACTATTGAATATTAATTGCGTATGGCTCACTTTAGTTTTCGTAATGCGCATCATACTCGTATAAACATTAAACGCCGCTTAAATTGTGATATCGCATACGCGTTTAAGCGTTTAAGCAGCAATTCGCATGTGCATATCGTAGATATTAAACAATAGCATAACACTGGTTCTCTTGGCCGGAATGCAAATGTCCCCGCCGACTTATTTCCTCGGGAACATGTGGCGCCATTTTACCGGCCGCGTTTTGTCTTGACAAAGCACGAGTACTCCCTACGACCAGTCATCCAGTTTGATGCTCTACCAGTAGAAATGCTTCGTTCGCACAAGAACTATGTGAATTAATTGACATGTACTGCCATCCTAGTTCCGAGGCTTTATAATTATGAATTTCAAATAGGAAATAACAAATGTTAAGATATAAAACTATTCGGTCGGTGTAGGAATTTGCGGACTTCTATTAGGATGATTCTCATTTTTTGTAGTAGTAAATTGCGAGTAATTTCTTGCCATAAGACAATCACACAATTGTCGTTTACGTGTGCTCTTTAAGCAAGCATGCTTAAAATTCATCTTCTTTATCCTGCCCTTATCCCACCTAGGTGGGGTCAGCACAATATGTGAATCATGTTGTTAATTCGTAATATACTGGATCCTATTTTTCAATGGAACAATTATTTGTGGGTCACACAAATACTTAAGACGAAAAGTCCAAAAGGTCAATTTTAAATATTATTATCGAGTTTTCCACTAAAGGTTATACAAATGTATTTCAGACGTATTTATAATTATTAATGAATATTTTGATTATATTTAGCATTATTTAGAAAAAGAGTGGCATGATCTACTGTATATTTCCAAGCAACCCAAGAAAAGTTATCACAGGGAGAAAAACCAGCTATCGAGTAAAATAAAAACAAAATAACGCTAAATTGAACAAGGTTAAGGCTAATGTTTGTTGCGGTTTAATGATTCAACGCGGGGTACAGTTTGAAAGAAACGGTCCGTGATAGATTCCAGCAATAGTATGCATAAGGTGAATAGAGGGGGTAAGGAGGTCGGCGCGGCCGCGCATAATGATTTGTGAAACCACGGAATTTCTCCGCGGAAACCGTTGTCATTAAATAGCATTCCATGAGAGTGGTTTAAAACGATTAGTTACACAAAATCAAGCGGTACTTTAGTTGCCTACGTGTAAATGAAATTAGCGAAAATATTATACATCTTGAAATATCTCGCGAACACGGAGACAGAGAGAGTTGTCGAGGCGTTCATTCCCGCCCGAATGAGTTGTGAACTTTAATTACTTTCGCGAGGTGAAAGCAGAGTCGCGGCGGGGAGTTATAAGCGTGGCCCTCACGAATTTATTGCGAGCCGGCATTTCCTATTACCTATGCGGCCGGGGAAGGAATGCGAGGCGGACGGCGCGCCGGTGAATCATGGCGGCTGCGGCGGCCGGGGCTGAGGTCACGTAGCTGCGCGATGCCGTCATTGTTGCACTACGCCGCCAGCGCAGCGCGGGAAACGGCGGCTCCATATGCCCCGTTTCCTCAGCCTCTGCTGATCATTTGAAAATGGAACGTTTCACTTTTTCAAACTGTCGTTCAGTGTTCATTTGTTAAAAGTTTTAGTTCACGTAATTACTAGAATCGTTCGAGTTATAATGCATGTTCACTTTTGAAAATCCTTACACATCTTCATCCACGTCAACACATTTGCGTTTAAGGAACGTCGGTTAAAACATAACGCCTTCTCTTACTGTATAGCCTAGCTGTTATTAACGGATAAATAAACTGCACTAATAAAATTTGTATATCACAAATCTCAGTAATTGAAAATATGCTTTTGAACGTATAACAGTTTTTCTGTAATAAACTCATAGCAGTATTAGCATTTTCTCCATAACTATCCTATTTTTCAATGGTAGAATATAATATGTTCACACATTTTGGAGTAATTCTTACCATTTCAAATAAAATGCAACTTTAATGTTAATTTAAATGAGAGAAACAGAAGTTTACTCATGGTAAGAAAAGGCGTTGTATAATCGGATACAAAAATGAGCATCGGCAATTGACAGCTTGTTGAGTTCAAATCATCCGAACAATATATAATAATAATCATAAATTCAAGAACACTTTCATTGTTAAATTGCAAAAAGATGGAAACCTAAATTAAAATTTAAACATTTCATAAATGATATTTTATTAACACTTCGTGCAAATTCGTTTTGCTTTTGCCCGGCAATAAAGTCCAAACAGTGCAATACGGAAAATACTTTCGCTTAATGATGCTGCATTAAAACGTGGAATGAATGGTATGCACTACGGAACAGAGCTAGGCAATTCAATAGCGTATAATTTATGAAGGGCGCTAAGTATCAAAACGATGTGGACGATTCTGCACTTTATCCTTACGATGTAGAGGTGTCAATTGCATGAATGGATCTCGCGTTTATGCTTATACATCACGGGGTCGTTTATTGGCGGGAATTGGGCGCATCCCGGTTGTTCGACGAAATCGCTATCCGACCTACGCGCCCATCATTCTGCTCGTATGAGAAGTAGGAATCATCGCCTTCAAACGAAATCGATATTATTCAATGTAATTGTGCAACATATTTAATTTTCCTAATTTAGATAAAACTTCGTAAGTATAATATCCAATGCACACATGCTTATTCCTTTCGCTACCTTTAAGAAAAGTTTATTTACGTATACACATATTTTCGTACCGTACTCATTGTGACCGTGACCTTAACTTTCAATAAGAGATTTGATATGATTCAGTTGGTTTTATCAAATAACAGATAAATTATGAACCCTAATTATTTTCCTAAGATAGATTAATGTAAGTTACTCTTTATAAAATGAGCTACCTGCTAGAAAGCTACGTTAAAATCCGTTTCGTTTCAAAATCGTTATCTGGAACAATATGTTATGTCTTTTGCCATAGCTGCCGTGAATTATTCATATAAAAACATTATATGGGGTTTGCATTATATAGGGACACTTCAAGTTTGTATATTTATACTCTGATTTTACGCCAACTTTCTAGAATGCAATACAAATTATACTCTCCAAAGGTAAAAATATCGCGAAATCAACTAACTTACATACAGTTTTCATAATGGTCAAGATTCATTGCGTATTTATTCCATAGTTAAGTTATTAGGATTGCATTGTCAATTGTAGCCCTTAAAACTATTTGGTGTGTATTAAACTATTATGTTACGCAAAACACTGCAGTTAAAATTGCGTAGAGAGAGCAATTTAACCAAGTTAAGTTATAATGCCTCTAAAAGTGCCAGTAACAGTTACAACTATAACGCTGCAGCCAAATTTGCAATTTTGTATGGGGACACGTTTTAAATAATTTACGTATTGCCAAAATATAGAAGAATATAATTCCTAGAGCTCAAAATCGTGAAAAAAAAAAAACATATTGTGAAAGCGATGATGAATGATGGTGTCATTAGAATTTATCTATAGATGTATGTAACTTAAAATCCAAATTAAAATTCGACTAAATAAGGCCAGCGAAAGATTTGTAACGCTTGCCATCTCCGTCAATCGCTATTTGGTAAAATGAATAAAAGTATTCATGTATGAAGTGAGGAATAATTCATTAATGCGTATGGAGAATTATATCTTGGAAATTTTCTAAGACAAAATCAAAGCCATCAAATACTCATAAACTTGAAAAAGATTTTTAGATACAGGTATGTCGTAAAAAAATCCTAATAGGATGTTTCCACGGGACTCAATCAATGACGGCTGGACCACATTATATCCCCAAGCCATTAATCGCACGGTGACCGCGCCTAACCGAGCGGTCTCGTTAACGACTCATTCATCTGTGGCCATCTGGCCTTGTGAACGCCTGCCTCATCCCCGAGCGCCCCCGCGTATCTAGAAAACAGAAGCCGTCTGCGCAAACGGTTATCGCAGGTCATCTCTTATTCTTTGTTTCGAAAAAAAAATGATGTTCTTTTTTTTTAATGCAACGATCTAATTCGCATTTGAATATACCCACAGACGCCTAAGAGCATGGCTGGCATGAAATCCGTTTCTTTACAAAGTTTTACTTTTTATGTGAGAAGGTAGCAAGCGAGCTGGCGGTTCACCTGATGTTAAGTGATAACCGCTGCCCATTGACATTTGCAACACTCGCAGACGCGTTGCCACTTTATAATAAAGTGGACCCCGGCTACCTCACTCAACAGACAAAACGCACACGTATAACACAGTCCCATCGTGCCGGTCTTCTGTGAGGTCCTAGTACTTACCCGGACGGACCTGCCCTTCCACAATTATTAAGAACATCACAATCTTGATAAGCTGATAATGAAACTTCACCAGGCACATTATGAATTGAATCATAGTTAGGATATACTTGAATTCTTTAACAGTGACCCATATAGTATTTTTGAACATCGTAATATACGAGATTATACGAAATTATATTCTAGACGTCCAGCATTTATTACAGTACCTATGTACTCATAGCTACATAAAACCTTACATAATTGGGTACGAAAAACCTTTAAGTTTTAAATGTATACACAATTAACGCATATAATAAAAACAAAGACCAGTTTTTCGCCACAAATAAACTAGGAACTTCACCAATAAAACCGTGACTCGGCAAACATTACGCTGAACCACTACAACGCAAAAGCTACCCAAATAATGCCCGACTCGATGCTGACGTACGGCGTTACACGCGTCGCTTTGAATCAGCCGGGTCGTATTTACATTAATCGTGTCCGTGGACGTCGTGAGGCGTCTGTCATTGGCCGATTGGCGTCAATTACCTCTTTGTGTGAAGCCGTCGCCGGTCGACTCGTCACTTCGTTCGTAGGACGCGCTATAAATATCAACCGAGCGATTGATCGACCTATTCATAATGAATGCTCGTTCAATTTCGACACGTCACCGTCCGGGAGCGTCGCAGAGCCCCTCTTCTTGGTCGCGCAGTTTGAAGGATCACGCTTTGAAGTTGAAAGAATGGATAGCACGTTTTAAAGCCGTTTAAATATCGTCGTATGGAGATGTGTAATGTTTTTCATACCGTAAAGTGAGCACACTAGATGTTATGTGAAATTTTATCGACCTGACGTCGTCAGCCTCTTAGCTTAGTTGGTAAAGCATCTGGGCGCAATACCCGGAAGACGCAGGTTCTAGTCTCGTGGTGCTTTTTATCCGTTTTAAATGTAGATAAAAGGAAACAACTGTTACCATAGAAATTTAAATTGTTTATAGTGCTAATCTTTGCACTTAAGATTGAACATTAAAATATGTAGAAAAAGTGCGAAAAGTTTGTGTTTCGTCGGTGTGGTAATCAGCCGTTTAGCTCAGTGGCTAGAGCGTCAGGCCGCGAAAGCCGAAGACGTGGGTTCGATTCTCACAGCGGCGACAAACTTTTCGCACTTTTTCTACATATTTTAACTGTTACCATACTTATGTTTATAACATATCTTTATAAGTATTATGAGGTCGCACTTGTATGATTTAGTTCATTAATATTACTATTATGTCTCAAATAGTATTTACGGTTCTTTCTCTACTGCACGAATGGGCAGATTCGTCCGTGTGAGTCACACACGAGACCACGACCGCACAGAAGACTGGCGTGTTATACTTCTGCGTTCCATCTGGTGAGTGAGGTTGCCAGGGCCCACTTTATTAAAAGATCGCAACGGGTGTTGCAAATGTTAAAAGGCGGCGGGTATCATCAGGTGAATCGCCAGCTCGTTTGCCACCTTCTGAAATAAATAAAAAACTAAAGCAGCCAGGATCCACGGTACACGTAGTGAAAATGAGCCTTTAACCGTTTGCCATCTTTCTATAAAAAAAAAACCAAATAATATTTTACTTCGAGGCTGTATCGTACCGAATGATTATTTTTTATGACATAAGTTTCAAGCGAGCTGACCGTTCACCTGATATTAAGTGATTATCGCCGCCTAGGGACATCTGCAAGACTCGAGAGTTCGTAGATGTGTTGACAACCTTTTAAAAAGTGGGCCCGGCTACCTCAATCACCGTCTTTTCAGTAAGATAACCGCCGGTCTTCTGTGTGGTTAAGGTTAAAAGTTATTAAATTTCATAAATACAATAATTCAAATATTATTTAGATCGCAATCAGTAATTCAACAAGAACTTATACTGAGGTAGGTCCACGCAGCATCATCTACTGTTGCATTAATGGGCAGACTTCGGAGAAGAAACCCTCAGAACACCCAGAATACCGGCGTGAAGTGAAGTATTATACTTTCGCGTTTCGTCTGGTGAGTGAGGTAATCGGAGCCCCATTTTTAAAGGTTAGCAAAGCAATTTTGCAACTCCGCCAGGTGTTGTAGATGTCCATTGGCGCTTGTCACACAAAAAAAATCCTGTTATGATAAAATTAAAGTTGTACCAATTAATTCATTGTTAATTTTAAATACAGCAATCCGCCTTCACTCGGCTCACATGCGTGGGCTGGAGCGAATCGATACGCGCAGACACATGACATGTAAATGTTCATCACTCGCCGGCACTCGCCAACCGCTTCCCGAGATTAATTCAATCGGAAATGCTCGACGGATATATCGACCCCGCGCCGGACCTTTTGGGGAAGTACAATCATTGCATTTAGGCTCCCGTTTTATGTTTTCCGTCCGTCGGCAAGGTTAGTTCAATTTATTTGTTCGATCCTCTTCGTCTGATCCCGGTCAACTTTTAGGTTTTGGTTTTTTATTTATATTAAATATGACCATTGAATTTGACCAATAATAACTTTTTGAAATTTACCTACAAATATCAAGTCATTTAATTAAACTTTTATCAATTGCATTTTAATTGTTTTTTACAAACAAATGAACTGGAATAAAATTTTTAGTTATCTTTTTTAAGCTTAAGAAGTATAACTTTTTACGTGCGGTACATAAGTACTCATATACTTTTTATGAGACTTTTCTCCGTGGACAATGTGTATATTTATGCAAGTAGTAATATTTTGATTTTGTGTGGAGATTTGTGTAGAATGTAATCATTAATTTATTTACTTTTATTTATACAGAGTGGCTTTTTTAAAGGTTCAGACTCGGTAGAATAATCGTTTATTGAAATAAAACAAACTTTTTTTTAAATTGCCATTCCATTCCTTAGAAAACAGAACTTGTTGACAATGCGGCAGTCATTCATAAATGCGTCGTATACTTTTAAAACGAACTTGTGTGCGTGTTAGTTATGAATGATCGCGCGTAAAATAAATGAGTTGCCCAAAAACAACGCACGTATTGAGATGAGTTCAAATGAATGTATTTAATTAATTAAATACAAATTAATTTGAACTCATCTCTTGTAATTACAAGTGATTTTAAATATTTATCATTTTTTATATAACATTATTTATGTCTAGAAATTCATTAAAAAAATGGATACACTTAGAAAAGCCTCCCTGTATGTAGTCTACACAGTTAGATATAGTTACAGTAAACCCAGGTTAGTTTAGTTATAGTAAACACAAGTTCCAATATAATCAGCCTTTTGCAGTCCACTGCTGGACATAGGCCTCCCCAAGGGCACGCCACAGAGTACGATCTTCCCCTTTCCTCATCCCGCCACTACCAGCGACCTTTCTCAGGTCAAACACAAGATAATTAATTATAATTAAATATTAATTATATTTGCACCTTAGCTGTGGTAATTATGAACAGAAATAAATTGATCATTTTATGAGTGTAAATTCCGTCAACATGATTGGGTCCTTAATTGAATTCCTGTTAGCTTAAAGACAAAAAGGTTAAAATTGTTAATAATAAATAAACGTTATTAAAATTATAAAGTTAATAATAGCTTTATTCATAAGTACTTTAACTTTTCATCTTTGTCATCAATTTGCTTCAGTATTTGAATATGCATATGCGTCATTGCATTCATTTGAGCGGAAGGCTTGAACAGACTGGAATCCCACTAATTTAAATAATCAGTAAGGGATGAAATATACATATTTATTATGTGAGAACTATAAAACAATTCGTTAAACTCTGCACCTCCATCCAATTTTCGCGATCAACATTTAACTTTAACTGCGGAAATCCACTTTGTAAATTGTAAAGGGCCCAGCGTTACGACCGCGCCAGCTATAAAATAGGCCGTTCATTATATAGACAATCCCGGTTAGCGTGTTTGCGTCCGTGCAATTTACACGTAATACAGTTATAAAGATAAATCTGTTCCGTCATTTTTAAAGTCCTTCGAAAGCGGGGAGATTTACGGGGCGCCGTGATTGGGAGGAACAATTTCCCGGCGGGACACGGCCTCATTTCCCGGCGAACCGGCCTGGCACGGAACTACCCTGCGAAATATCATCTAAACTAAGCCTCCGTGAACATCTTTCGACTGGCGCTTCTACTACTTCTATTTAAATTTGAATCATCTTGACTGTTGGTAGAACACAGTGGTGTACGTTTTAACTTTTTCCGTGTCTATATCTGTCTAGAGATGGGACTCTCCTGTCAGTTTGATGTTAAAGAAGAGTTTGATAACGGCCGGTTTCAATATTCAATCTACATATAGATTTGCCTAGTAACCAAATCCATCTGTAGATGAAAATTGAAAATTGAAATCCAATATTGAAAACGGCCGTAAGTGAACAAAATAATAAGTATTTTTTAAACGAAATAACCAAGTAATTAACAGGTTAAGTTTATGAATGAGTTTCATTAATATTCAAATAAATTCAATAAATAAAGAATATCTTAATTAGGTAGGTATTCATTGAGAAATTGTCATCGATATAAAAAATAAGCATAAAGCTGGCGCTGTAAATCGACTGTTTATTACGAGTAGTTATACGTTGAGAGTTACCTAATGGCTCCATTACGACTAAGAATTTTCTCCTACGACGTACACTTCAGCATTAAGCAACTACGCTACATTGTACAGTACAGCCGCTTTGTTCCTTATTTATGCGTTGCTTAACCCAAAGCGAGTTGATATTTTAAAATGGCCCGAAGAATTATTGCTTTGTTTCGGCTTCCGTATGCGTGCTTCGGACTCGCCACGACCCAAAAGCATTAAAGTTAAATCTCACCGAAATACCTACCTACCTTTCTTTTATGCTCACGCTCCTTAAATTCATGGTTTGCCATTACAAAACATTATCTGCCTACTCGCAAAATGAACACTAAAAGATATATTAATACGTACCTACATTGTAAGAGATGGAAAATGTAACCAACTGTCACATGACAAAACTTACTACCACTGATTAAAAAAATTGAATAGGCATTGACAACGCTACCAAAACATACGGCTGTACCAATTTAGTACGGTTTGAACTTTGAGATGTCAATTAGCTTAGCTAAATTAAATTCTTCTATTTTTTTGTTACATGTGGGATCATTAACATGTCTGAAAGACTTCGTACGAGACGAATTCATATTACTTTAAGCGCTGACATCTGCACGCGCGCGGGATACTATTTAAGTTTTAACCAACCAAATCAAAAACACAACTTTACTTTTGCAATTCGACACTATAACCTAATTAATTTGCCCCCTCGGCTTCTATGACCGCAAATATTAGAGCAATATCAACAAACTCGTTCCCGGGCTTAATGGAAACAACACTTCGTCTGTTAGACGACAGTGATGATTCCACGGCGGGCGCTTCCGTAATATGTATTTACGAAGGTCGGGCGCGGTTCAATTAAGGCTGGTATTTAAAGCTGGCCCGCCGCGACGAGTTCTGATTGCTTACCGCCCTAGAGACCGCCGCCCCAGTCTCTTTCATTTTCCAATGCAATAATTCCACCAGAGTCCTTAAAGACTGCGCGCCGGTTTTTATATAAATACAATTGAAAATTTCAACGAATCGAAATAGGAAACGGTTTTCATTATTAGTTTGAGACACGCGGTGTATGATTTTAAAATCATTCAAGTAAGTGTCTGATGCAAATGTTAAATAGTAAATAGATAATTTTGCTTTCTTCTACTGGCTCAATATTGAGAGACTATAGAGGCTCGAGATTGACTGGATTCTTGTGGTTCAAAAATAACAAGAGTGGCGCTTATGTATATTAGCACAAGAATATGGTATATGTATGGCATATAGTATATGTATTCTATTTTGAATGCTTAAATAATGTAATATATTTTTTTTATATTGGGTTTAACATGTTTATATACGTTATATATTTTCATGTAAATGTTTTAAATTTAATTATATATGAATATGTATATAACATGTGTTTTAACTTAAAATTTGATTAGAAACTTTTTACACCTGCCTCTTTTGTGTCTGCGTCGCCCATAGGTTGACTGGTAGAGAATGCCTTAGGCATTAAGTCCGCCTATACACAATGTTAATTTTTTGTGTAAAATACACAATGTTAAATAAATGAATATGGTATGTATACATATAAAGTAGGTGATCATATGGTATGTATACATATAATGGCATATAGGAGGTGACAACGTGATTTAGTTAGGCCTTGTGTAAAGTAGAAATAGTTGTATTGCTATTTTCCAGCAAGTAAGGCGAAAATAATGGTTGCTGATGCAAACGGAACCCAAGGGTAGTTGTAGTTAGCTTGTTGGCTGTGCAAAAGGGGCCAAGGAGTAAGGCGCGCTGATTGCTCCAGCGTGCCTTACCTGGAGGATGGTGTTGCTCCTCAAGTAGGGGCTGCTGAGGCGGCTAGCGCTAGCTGGGTCGCAATATGTGTCCCAAGTGGAACATCGTAGTGGTTAAAGTCGCAGGTCCGACATGCCCTCATGCCGACAGTGGTATAGAACCTTACTACCAACCTACCACACGCTTCTTGTCACGTTCTCTCACAGTTCGGCCACGCAACAGTGTTCGCTGTTGCACGAATTGGCATGTCTGTCCGGGTAAGTACCTCGACCTCACAGGAGACCGGCGTGAAATGGAAGTTTTATACTTCTGCGTTTCGTCTGGGGAGTGAGGTAGCCGGGGCCCACTTTATTGAAAAGTGGGAACGCATCTGCAACCCTACGGGTGTTTCAAATCTCATTTGGCGACGGTTATCATTTAACATCGGGTTGAGCGCAAACGCGCTTGTCACCTTCTCAAATAAAAAAAAGCACAACGGGCGTAAACCAGTTAGCCGCGGCCGTCCAGCTCGTACAAACCGGAGCGCCGCATCCGATGAGGTTATCGCGAACTGCGCGGAAACTAGTCTCAGTCTTTTCACTAAACGGCCAAGCGCCCATTCCGCGGCGGACGCGACACGGACGCGGCACCTAACTGGACATGCCATTAGCATTTACGCATAACCGCGGGGGGACACTTCCTAAATAAGTACGTGAGCGCAATTTAACGCGCCACAGTATCGATGGATTGTTGTTTATTTCTTACGCTTCCGTCAACCGTCCGCGCGGGGGCACGTTGATTTCAATCGATCGTATTCGATACCGTTAATGAATTTAAATAAACGTATAGGAGAACACCGTTAAGTTATCGCATAATAGTTGAAAAATTTGCATGTTTAATTTTGTTTGGTACACGACCGGAAATCCTCGTGTCTCCTGGGCGCTAAAGTTTGTCCTTTTAAAAGCTAACTGCGACGTAACACGTCAATAATTAGTATATGCTCCGTATACTCGGTACAGTGCACCTTCTATCGCCTTGAATAAATTTCTCTTGACTGAAAGTAAGCTCGCAGAGCTTCCTTCAATCATTATCATTCAATTAATTCGTATACCGGTTTCTTTTCGACATTAAAAGACCCCAGGTTCTTTTTGACCCCGGGGTCTTTTTATCCCAGGATAAATGGTTGTATTGTTACTAATAATTGTTCTGAATCTGTCTTTTTGTCACAGACGCATTTAAAGCTTTGAGCACAAAATCTTTTGGAAATAGGATATTTCTCATTTTAAGTTTAATCCAAAATTATGTGTCAACGATACTGCCTATTATGTATAAATATGCATATATGGAGTTCGGTGGAATCTGAGATGCGGGAAAAAATTAAAAGAGAAGTTCTCAGTTACTCAGAAAACTTAGGTTTGTAACATGTAATATGCAGTTACATAATTAATGAAATAACGATATTTAAATATAAGGGGACCTTATAAAAACAACTAGTTTAACCTCCGTGGTATAACTCTCAAGAGTAATATCAATCTCCTCTCCCACGTAAGTTTATCGTGTCACTAAATCCTCACCGGAGACTGCTGCACCCCCGTACGAAAGAAATACTCCGCGTCTAACTCGACCCGGCCGTAGCGATTGGCGCGCTCACGACCCACCGCGTTATTTCTCGCTCCGCGGCGCGACAGTTCATTTGAGCTGTTAGCGGATAACGTTCCCGCGTTCCACCAGGATTTATTGGCCAGTAAATCCGGGCCGATGACTTGCACGCGCTCCCTTCGACGGGCGCCTCGAAACATTCCCGGCTACGGAGGGGGGCGGGCGGTGACGTTAATTAATTTCGCCACGGCAGTCCTCTCGGGTCCATTTCGAGTGCTCCGGACCTTTTTGCCTTTTACGCCTTTAGACGCATCACAAACAGAAGGGCTTGTTTCTTTTACTTTTATTTCAACTGGTGCTTTCACTTTCAGTCCGTAGACTGTTAGAGCTTCGTCAAGCGCAGAAATCGTAGCCTGGCTAGATCCGACTAGCTCTCTATGACGGCCCTCCGCGTCGGCTAGGGCTGCGCATGTGCTCATGCGTGCATTATCTATGGGATGCTTATTTATGTTCTTAGAAGTCATAACAATGACTTTACATTGTTTTATGCAAGTAACTGCATCTGAAAATAGGCTTTAATATAAACTCACCATAACATACGACGATTAAGTGTTTAAAGTAAATTATTTTATTACCTAACTTTTATAATTAAACATTTATTTTAATGACTAGTAACTATAGAATTATATTAGTTCTTTTAGAGTGTACTGTACAGCTGAAATTAGCGTAACTGTAGAATGGCGAAACTAGATACATACACCGATGATGCGGCACTATCATTGTCATAGTTTTTTATACGAATGTCCCATTAAGTCCCCCTTCCCCGTGTCTTTGTGCTGAAATCCGAATCGTTCGATTACCCGTGACTTGCAATTCACCATACGGAGTTAATTGTGTCTGCCATTGTAACCGCACTCACCCTACCAACGGAGCGTCACAGAATTTAAATTGAGTAATGAAACTCGAGTATCTACAGTAGTTTTATACCAAGAAGTGCTTAATAATAACAGAAATTTAAAAGTCAAACGAATAAAAGTAAATTTAATAATCAATTATTCATGACTTTTTAGTTTTTAACGTGGTTAAGAAATTAAATTATTCCAAGAAGAATGTCCCCTTTGAACATCTTGATTTCAAAAGTGCCTAAAAATCCTTCTAAAGGATTGCTCTCGGAGCATTACTGGAAAGCCGCGACCACACTGTTGCAAACTTGTTAACGATACTCAGAAAAAAAGATAAGAAAAAAAATGTAGAGGTATGTTTTATTAATTCTCCGTACACACGACGCGGAATGGAGCCGACCGCCATTTTTCTGCGGACGAGATTTAAATATGGAATTCCGGTGTGCGAGCGGGAGAGACGCGTGCCATTGACCTTGCGCCAGGGCCGCGCACGCGCCGCGCCGCCGCCTGCGCCCGCGACGCAGCGCCGCTGCACCGCCCGCCTAGCTTTTTTATTGCATTGCAATACTAAGTATTAATCCAGCGATTTAAAATAGGAACGTGTTCTTTTTTGCCCCCGTGTTAAGTCAAGGAAAGTGGGTCAGTTCGTTGTTTATATAGTACGACAAAAAGTAATAACAGCGCCATTTGGAATACACGATTCATCTGTGTTTATGTGAATAATTGTACATGGAATAATTCAATTTACTGCCGCACTTTATTAATGAAAATCGGCTACACATTTCACCGTTGCACGCGTGACGTCGGCGCGCGCCGAAGCTGGCGAAAGCCCACTCATTAGAGTGGCGCAGTCACATCACAAACAGTCGAACGCTACACACTGCGAGTACTTAATTAGGGAAATTGCTTGCCGTTTACACATACGCGCACGAAACTTGCCTAAACTACCGCTATACAACCGTCCGGACGATGGGATCTCGGGTTAATGGAAACGTAGCGAAAAGTGGGTTAATTAGTACAAATATTTGGTTAAAAACTGTATTGCGCACGCTTTATTTATTCGTAGACGCTTTCTCATCACCTGCCACGTGTTGTAAGAGATCTTATAATGTGCATCAGGCGATTGCGTTACTGTTTAAAGCTAACGACAGTTCTTATGTCTCAAGAGTTCGTTCATACATCACTGTCGAATTAAATCAATGCCCTGCACACACAATTTATTTATGAATCAAACTTGAAAAAACAACTCACAACAAAACGTAAATAAAAATAAGAAATAAATAATATATTAACAAATCGTGAAGTTAAATAAGATTGAAGGCCATATATTGATTTTTCTTCATCTTACTAGGGTATTAACACTCTCAATATGATCTTTTCAGTCACTTAATATGTAATTTAGTACAACATTTATTAATAAACTTTTGTCTTCCATTCCAAAAGACGCAATAAAGAGTTCCTAATATACAGTCTTTAAGAAAGACTTGATATTTGAAATTCCAACTTCAATTCAATTTAACTACCTTTTTTTCAATTCGATTCCATCCATCCATTTTAAAGAATAATATTTGAAACTCTTTAATTTATCTTATCCTTTAAACTAGCAATTCTTGTATAAATAATATGTATAAACGGAATTTCGGAAACGGCTCCAGCGATTTTCATGAAATTTAGTATGTGCGTAGATTCGGGGGCGAAAAATCGATCTAGCTAGGTTTTATTTTTAGTAAATATCCTTTTCATCTCTGTTTTCAGGGAATGAAAATTATCATTCGAATATGACGGTAAACTTCGCCGCAAAAAAAAAAATGTTATAATAGCTCGGTCGGTAATCGGGCGGCCCCAAAACAGACGGCCGCGTTTCGTATCAAGATCATTATTTTTTTACTTTTTTTTCTATACCAGATCATTGCTTTCTTTATTTTTTATTTTTTTTATTTCCAAAATACATGATTTACCAAAAAAAAAACTACCAGGTACTCTTCTTTAAGACAGCAATATTGACATGTAAAAGAGTAATATGCGACATAAGACAGGCGAGATCATGTAGTAGTAGTAAACAAGTCGTATGCGGCACATTTCGTGGCAATCTCAAATAACTTTAAGTAACAAACGCGAAGTTTTACAAGACGCTACAACTTCACTCCGCCAGCGAGACCTAATATATCACCTATCGTGTCTAGACAGCATAAATTATGTTTTTCGAAGGTGGGGAGTGCGCGACTTGTAATGGCGGGCAACTCTTGGATTACATTTAGTTTCCCGAACTATCGCCAAAACAGTGTTCGATGTTAATCGGTTTCAAAGATCAAAATAATAAATGTACAATAAACATTTTTTATAATTCATATGTCAGATCAAGGGGAACAAATTCAAATTTATTTTTGATAAAAATGTAACCTTAAATAGTGCTGCGAAAATTATTTTTTAGATACCTATATAAAACTGTTTTTCGGAATGCGTCGCATGTTAATTTTTGACGTTTCGAACACTACAGAATGCGTTCGTGGTCACGGGGCAGACTGAATTATTCAGGGTTTTAAAGATTTTAAAAACCGAATAAAACGAGATAAAATCTATCAAATCATTTTATTTAACATTGAATAGTATCCGCGCAAGTACAAAAATCATCATACTCACTTTTTTATTTATGATAAGAAATCTATTATATACTTCAAAATTATAATTAATAAAAATTTAATAAAAAGAATCTTATAGGTACTACACACCCGACTTTCAGTGGTATTCCAATATTTAAAATTTCCTAAATTCAAAGTTTGACGTAACAATGAATGAATGTATACACTTTTATTGTCCACCATAAATGAAAATATACATAAAAGTGACAATAGAACAACAAATTTATGCAATGTACAATTTTGCGGCCTTATTGCTTCATAGCGATCTCTTCCAGGCAACCAATGGCGTGTCAAACAATGCTCAAAAATCGTCCATCTATTACGTAACGCGAAAAGCTCTATCGACGACTATATTCGCGTAAGAGTAGAATGGACTTCCCAGAAGATCGGACCACCTCGAGACGGAGCAATTACGGGTCTTGTGAATATTGCGTTATTCGAGATGGCGTCGCCGCCGGAGCGGAGTCTCGTTGCAATTGCGCCGATCCGATCGCTTAGAAAGCCGCCGCGGAATTCCGCAGAGATGCAAGATGCAATTCAAAATACGTCCCGACGTAATTAGTTACGATTTCGGTCTCCAATAACGGCTGCGCTCTGCAATAAATGGCGCCTATAGTGTCGAAGTCAAAACATGGCATCAGTAATAGTTTATCCTGTTTGCATCCCTCTAATCTTTATCTATTACTTCTCAATTAAAAAGTGTTTTCGTCGGTACGCCACGACTTACTTAATTCTTTATCTTTGATGTTTTGAACACTATTTTGAAGTATAATATGTTTGCCGCTATTGACGGAAGAAAAATAGAAAGTTAAAGTTTTCATAAAAAAAACTTTCGTTAAAAAACTTATTATAAAGAAAATATGATAATGCCATAGTTAATTGGTTTAAATGAAATACAGAGGAAAAAGAAATTTACAGTTTTATTTATACATTATTATATTACCATGCGGCGACTGATCCCGGTACTGTGAAAATGTTTTACATGAGTCTATAAGCTTATATATAGCTAATTTTCTTATTTCTTTTGATCAGGTTTTTTAAGGTAACCTACATCACATTATAACAGTCGGTTAATATGAATTAATGCGAAACAATATATCAAATATATTTGGATATAAATTGGTTGTTGTTGAGCATTCAAACGACATTGTTATATTTGTAATATATAAACAAATTCATACATAAACAACCAATCAGTTGTTTTAACGGGATAGATATCAATAGCAAGTAGTCTTCACAACTGTTTCTCCACACGAGCATCCCAACCACTCACAAATCTGAAAAATCATTGGCGCGTCTCTTGAATTTACAGTGTACCTTCCACTGATGAAAAAACACTCCTTTAAGTCTACAAACAAAAAAACTTAACCTAACATATATGTAAAAGAAGACTGTCCCAACTCACGAATTCGGAATATCAAGTTATAACTCGGACCGTCGAATATTTTTAAATTTACTTTATGACTAACAACCTTATTTGGAATAATAAATCACATGATTACACGGTTCAAAGTCTTTCACGTCTTATCGGTGCTCGTTAAAGTTAATTAACATCCCTTCTGAGTACGCAAATAGTACACAAAGAATTGTGCTTTAAATAAAAATGTTTTTCACTATGAAAAAGACTATTTGTAACTACTGAATTTTTTCTCGTAACGACACCATATTTAATGTTAGTTATACGAGCTTCTAATACACTATGATCAAACAAATTTAACGGAAATCAATAGTAGCGGAAGGCCAACGTTAATCATGGCGTTTTGTGGCATATATTTATAGATTTATCAGCGAGTAATTTGGCGAATCTCAAGTAATAGTAATTACTTTTTTTTTTAATTTTTACTTGAGCCGTGATAGCTCATTGCCCGGTCGCTCGCTTTTAATTCATTTTTCTCTAGAAACTGAGTTCAAACGGTACCAGCATTAATGAAATTGTTAATTTTAAGCGCTGACTTTTCACGTGCACAGCACCGAGGGGAAACATCGTGAGGCCACCTGAATATTTTCGAAATAGTAAAAAAACATAAATATTTCGAAGATATGTGAAGTCCGTCAATCCGCTGTGGAGTATGCTAATAGGTACACTCTGTACAGAGGAGGCCTTTACCCTGCTCTGTAGGATATGTATAGGCTTTATCCTTTTACTTTGCTTTTTTATCATTTCCAGACATATGAATCATGAAAAATGATATTGTATATATAATTTTTTTGTGATTATGATTTATAAATGGTATTGTTATATAGTAATTAGAATAGTGTTGTTACGATAATGAAATATAAGGGCGAATGTTATTAACAATTAAACTAGATTAAGATAACACCAGTTACTATAACTTACAAAGTATAATGAAATAATTGTTAACAATTTAATTAAAAGTTATTAAGACTTGATAGTAGTCAGTTTATTCCCAACACAAATAGAGTGCCCCCAGCATGCTTACGTGTCGCACCGTAGCGCTGAATATTTAAAGCGCAACACACCTCATTAAAATCTCTTAAGCTGATTTAAAAGCACTTCTCCTGGGTTTTTGAATTAACTCTTTAAATGTGATTTTACTTATATTTTTTTTTAAATTTAAAGTGCATCAAGTTTGGGTAATTCCGAAGCAGTCACTCAAAAGTTTATTTTTAAAAGGAATACTAGGTACAATTTTGAATTTCCCCTATTCGATATTATTTTTGCACATATAAATGCACCATTTTCTAATTGTCCATTAAGATACGTTAACCTATTTTTCGAAAATGAACATTATTTAAACACAAAAAACGGGATATGATATATATATATATAGACGCGAAAACATATTTTTATCACCAATGTACAATTTTGTAATATGTTACTACTACCTTAAACGCTGTAAAGGGTTCGGATGGACGAGTATTAAAATCACTATATAGGATAAAAAAAAGTCCCGCTGTCTGTTTGTCCCTATGTATACTTAGATCTTTAAAACTACGCAACGGATATTGATGCGTTTTTTTGAATATGTATACATTGCACCTGTGCGAAGCCGTGGTGGGTCGCTGGTTAATAAAAAACCGAAGAATTAATATTTTATTTGATAAAATGAACTCGTGACCAAGTTGCTTCAAGTTACTTAAAAACTGTCAAACAAAGTCCGTTTACCAAAATCCACATAAACAAACAGTTAACTTTATAATCATAACTAATGTATGGTGAATAAATAAATCTAAACGACAGCTCGTATCGGCGTATCTATAGTCATTATAACTAATTACAGTCAGTTATGACTAATTATGTTATTCGTTGAATGTTCATTCGTGTACAGCGATTTTTTATCTGTCCCCCTAAGGATGCACGGCTCGGGTGAAATAAAACGGTTATCTTCCTACACATTCCGACTTATTTAGTAATTTAATATTCCAAGCATTACTTGTAATGGAACACGCCGTTGCATACGGGCGCAGGAAGAGTGACAGCTAGACTCCGATCGAAAAGTCCATTGTTAAGTCATTGTTCCCTCAATTAAACAGTTTTTTATGGATTAACTGTTACAATTACATAACAATTGCTCCTATCGCCCCAATGATCTTTGTCAGAGCGACGATGAATAATTGACTCCATAGATTAACGTGAGAATGCCAGTACATCGATTATTGGTTCTTTTTATTTCACCGTAATAGTATTATTGTCATCTAGCCAAAATTCCGTATTGTTGCTTAGATTGACTTCTGAATTAATTAAACTTAAAAGTCGACAATCTTTTGTGAATATTCAACTATGTTAGTTTCTTTCTCAAAATTTAATTATTTTAAAATTATTTCTTTTGAATAATAGCTAATAAAGTATTCAATAAATATTTAACAAATAATTTAATTCCTTATGACAAAGAAAATAGAGAAACTGTGGCACAACTGACTAGTATAGTTTGATAAATGTTTGCGCGTATTAAACTTGCATAGGTGGCGATTTTCGAAGAAACTAGTCATCGTACGCTCTAGAAAAGCATACCTAATGGAACAGGAATATACATGGAAGACTAATGAGGAAAATTAAGCACATCGTTCGAAGAACACAAGGACATTTTTAGGAAACACAGTCTTATCGCTTTTCTATGGTTTCGAACAATTCGCACCATTCATGCTAACACGATAAATACCCATACCGAGAATATCAAAAGAAAGAGAGGTCCAAAATGTAAAACAAATTAGACTGATAAGTTTAATAAGGTTGTTTTATATGCGCCAAATCATATTTATATTCGCAAAACCATATATTTATCATACAAGGATTTACGAAGTACCAAAAAGTTGCAATTATTGTTAACTATGCCAGCACCCGATGGGATTTCTTAAGAATTTTGAAATTGTATTTAATTAGTATTTACTTGAATAGATTTGAGTGTTCAATTTAGCTATCAGTCGCAACTTTGTAATCAACCAATCATCAAAAGCAACAAGAATCGTGAAGGTGAAAAGAAGTTTGAAAATGGCTGCAGCCGTGCATCGGTGTGTCCGCGTAAAACAAACACGTACTCTCTCTCTTTATGTAGTATTCGCGTAGATAAAACTATTAATACGAACCCGTATCACGCCTCATGCGCGTGTGAGCGCCATGTTTACCACGCTCCGTCCACCTTCACGCGGGGCGCATCGCTTCGAAAGTTGCCAATTGGTGACACGGCCGCTGCCGAAGCCGACGGATCAATGACTTCTGAAATGTCACGCCGAGAATTCATCCGAGAATCCAGCACACGTGTCGCATATAAGTGTGTTAATAAGCTTACAGGGGAGATTAGTGGCCATAAAATTAATGATGGCGTGGACACTGCGCGTCTGTCGGCGGTCGTATCGATTTTCCGCGTGTGTGTGCTGTGCCGTTCAGGGCTGTCATACCTTATGGTAACATCGCGCGTTACTGCCATTCGCTTATTGAAAAGCAGTTTTTCTTCATCTAGTCCGAGTTGAGGGAATGGTGGTTAATGTTGATTAAAGAAAAAATGCAAAAACTAATGATGATTAGGCTGTATGGAGTAATCTCAAGCCGGTCAACTATAATAATAACAAAAAGTTTTCCTCCTCTGTCATCGAAACGCCATTATTACAAATCTGGAATGACGTACCGCGCTGCCCGATTCATAACCGGCCAGTCACAGGCTACAATATGCGCTATTACATCCGGGTGTTTCCATCCCCGTACGACGCGCTCGCGACACGTGCGCCATGCACGATAGGCGACGTGACGTCTTGACGTGTCACGGCCCGTGTGCCGTATACAGCCGCGGTAGTTCCGGCGTGCCGGCCGCGGGGCCCTCGACCCGTTCCGCAGGACTGGTGGCCGCGGAATAACGGAACCCAGTACCACTAGGCCCTGCGTACGCGCCATTCATAACGTTGCGGGCACTATTAACGCACTATTACGCGCGCACTTTCAATGTGCCCGTTGAAAGTGCGCGCGAACTATCACCACGAACCAGTTTTCGGACGGAATGATGTCACAATGAGGAAGGCGAAGGAATGCGAAGTCATTTCCTCAGTGCATATGTGATATTGTTCCGCTGACACGAAAGAAGCCAGTCGGGGGAAAAGGCGAATATAAAAAATAAGCGCCGCTACGTGACTCGTGGTTATACACTGAAGCGTAATTTTTATCCGCCATTGTAGTATCTTACTGTATCAAATATGCTTCTTTGGGACAACGAGTCTCCTACGGTTATGATGCCAAAGTCAACTAAAGGTAAGGGGATAACTTCGAAATGTAAGGCCTTAAATTTTCCTACAAATCTAAATACAATGCCCATAGTGAAATGACGAAGCCTCCGAGCCGAAACGACCGAGCCTCCGAGCCTTTGTCAGAACAATGCTAATAAAAAAAAATCAAGGGAAACATCTGGCATAAAATAAAGCTGGAGGCCCATACCCGCGCTTTGCCCGACCCGATCTTTTTTGTAAATAATATTTTTAATCTGACTAAGAACCCTGCTTAAATTTTACCGTGACTTCCTGCTTTGTAAGTTGTTCGTTTAGCTGCGTATATCTTAGTTATGCTTAACATCAATGTAATATACGTACATACGCCATGGTGTAACCACATTCTACAGAATTGAGCATAAAAACCAATTGATTTTAACTAAATTCACTTTTTTTTTTTTTCAAAAATGAATTGATGACCCGCTTCGAGGAAATCTGAACGGGCAAAAAAAAACGACGAAAATCGCATTCGTCAGAAGTGAGGTCGAAGTCTGTTTACAAAAAAGGAATATATAAAGCGCCGGGTCGCTTCTCATACGGCGAGACACCTGCGCGCCAGACCAGACTGGCAAAAAATTCGCGTGAACATCTCGCAACGTTCGTGCCCGCTCCGCTCCGATTGGAACAGGAAACAATCGCTAACTTTCATTACGGTTTCAATCAACAACTGCATAATAAATACTGGCCGTTAGCTTGCCCCTTTTGTGTAGAAAAAAAACCCATAATTTTCTTTTTTCTGGCGTCCTAACAGAACAACCAATTCAAATAAATAATGAAATCGTACAATTTGTCGTGTACTTATGTTTTTGCATTAAGATAAGTATTAAATTTTAAAATATGTACAAAAAGTACGAAAAAATTGTCGCCGCTATGGGAATCGAACCAACGTCTTGGGCATTCGCGGCCTGACGCTTTAGCCACTAAGCTAAACGGCTAATTGCCACACCGACGAAAATCTTAAGTTCGTTCATCTACATTGTTTTTAAAATTTGTAGAAAACTTTTTCTACAAATTTTCATAATTAATCTTATCTGACCTGCGCGGATAGGAATCGCCCTTCCAGGAAAATATTTTTATATCATACAGATGTTTGTTCCATGTCTGGTTGTTTTCGCTTCTTTAATACTTCTAAAGCACTGGACAATGTTACCATACATAACTGTACTGTAATGTAATTTTAAAACTTCAAAATTAGAAAACAAAAACAACTTTTAAATTACATTGGATTGGATCATTAATTTGCATGATCACAATTAAAAAATAATTGAGTATTATGTCATATATCAAATCAGATATAGCAATTCACTAAAATTTTGTATGCAAAATGACTATGTACGTGTTTTATTCATATTTCTCTTAAACCGTGACAAAAGAAACACACCCAGCTGCAAATAAGATTTACTTAACATTCAACAACGTGTTATATGAACGCCAGGAAAATAGAATAATGTGATTGTAATTTTGTCCTCTTCTATAAGCCTCATGCCGAGCCTTTCGCTTGGAATCATAAACCAGCCACACACAGGGGATCTACATTTGATTTATACGACTTACATTAACATACTCGTGAAAAAAATAATAATGGATGTTTTAAAAGAAATAAGTACCGAAGCTTAGTCGCGTGTGGTTCACAATTGAGTTCGATATTACATCGTTCTGACGTTATTTATTACTTTTGGTTGGCTGATACTGTAGAAAGTAAACATAATATTCAAGTGCTATGAATTATAGATTTGGAAAATTATCATTAAAAACCTTTTCAAAATTTAACATCAACAACGTTGCTAATGCTAATGCTTGGTTGATACCAAGAATGTTCGTTAATGTGTGAAATCGAAATACAAGATACTTAACAATGACTTCAAAGCAAAAAAAGCTAACACAAAACATTTCATTACATCGAAACGAAACAATAGACACCGGAGGACGATTCTTTTTTACAATTGTGACGTAGCGTCTGAGGTCGAAGGAGCTCCAAGCGCCTCAAAGCCTGACTGATTCGATGCGTTGTTATTGGGATCTTGTATCGCGTAACCTCCTATGCCTTAACACGTAACATCCTCAATTACGTGTTAAGGCATAACTCCCCGTCCGTTCGGGCGAGATGGTGATTTTTCGCAACCGGACGCTGCGTTACTTTCAACTGCTCGGAATGCGGCCACCGGCCAGCCTCTCCCACCTCGCCCGTCTGCTGCGAGTCTCGCCGCGGTACGAGTCGCGTTGATACGCGAACGTATGAACTCTATGCCTCCTCGCAATCACTACATAGTATAAAACAAAGTCGACCCACTGTGTGTGTCCTTATGTATGATCTTTAAATCTATGCAACGGATCTTGATGTGGATTTTTTCAATACATAGAGTGGTTCATGAGGAAGGTTTATATGTATAATATAATCCTTCCTAATATTATAAACGCGAAAGTTTGTTTGTATGGATGGATATTTGTAACTGTTTCATGCAAATATACTGAATAGATTTTAATGAAACTTTACAATAATATAGTTTATACATCAGAAAAAGACATAGGCTATAATTCATATACATATTTTATGTATATCTGTCTTTCTGTCTGAATGTTACGACTTCAGCCTATTCTACGCAGACGTAGTCGCGGGCAGCAGCTAGTGTATAATATATTGCTCCTGTGCGAAGCCGAGGCGAGTCGCTAGCAATATTATATACGATACTAGCTGATCCGGCAGATGTTGTTTTGCCACATAAATTATTTGTAGGGTAGAAAAAAAAATTTTCATAAACTTATTCTCATACCTATTAAATATACATATAAAATTTTAACAAAATCGGTGAAGCCGTTTCAGAAGAGTATTAATACAAAAACTGTGACACAAGATATATATATTTATATTATATATTATATTAAAACATCTTATCTTCGCGTCAGTTCCCCCGCTTACGTAACTTTGGATAAAAAAAACCGTTAGAAATCGCCACGAAACTTCCTGAATGCGTTATAAATTTTAAATGTATGATGAGATGTTAGATTCATTAAGAGTTTCAATAAGAGCTTAACCTTCTTTCTTGCAACCTTCCTGCCTGTATTGAATAAATAAATTTCCACTTTGAAATGCGATTGTTGGGTTTGGGTTACGAAAATTTATAATGAATATCTTGTTCGACATCCCAGTGCGGCTTAACGATTGCTGACGTTGTTCCTTCGGACTCTAGATTGGACAAGGACGCTTTTGAGATATTCGTGTTAGTACCAAAGGTCTTCCTCTGATACTTCGATAAGCTTTAAGTTTAATTAAATTCATTAACATCTCCAGTGTATTCTTATTTATAAGTCATATGTCATAAGTTAACACCGAATATTTACTAAAGCATTTTCATTTTCTTCGCATTGTTGGGTTGTTTACATTTTGGTCGACCTTGGAACGGTATAATCGTGAATTGTGTAGGTATGTTACATGCAGTAAACATGTTTTGTTTTATTAAGCAGTTCATGAAATACAAACAATCTCAATTTAAATTTCAATACATTTTAAAACATTTGTTAAGTTCGGCTTTAGAGACTTATTTACCACTCCACTAGACATATATACCAATTTAACGTTAGCAAGCTCAAATATACGCACCTGTGCGGATTAAGTGTACTTACGTTGTGTCGCATTGTGTTCATTCTGACAGTCGACCATCGAGATTAGAATTAGCTTTATTTAAATGAACTGCACAATCTGACGTGCATAGTCCATCCTTAGGCGGGCGATTTAGCATTTGCATATCGTCCGTATTGTATTTGCGAATGGCGTCTAGCACAAAGCGGTTGACGGAGTCCGCAATGCTAATAATACAATGGCCAGACGCACCTCGTGTTGGCTCGTTGGCGGGCGGCGCGGGACAATCGTCTCTAGGCGCACGCGCTAAGTGTCACTTTCGGATGTCAACAGACGATTCCTTATAGGAGCAGCGAATTCCACACAAACATAACTCATAGCTCCAAGCTCTGAGCAAGGTGAGCCGGCTCATTGGATGTAGGATAACTTTCGTCGGCCGCTGAATGGTTCGATGACCGCGCGCCGAAAACGCTCGGATTTGCATGTGTCAATGACACAGGCCCGACGCCCGCGCGGCCCGCACTTTTCCTTTCAGCCGTCTCGCCGTTTCGCCGAGAAACGGTCCGAATGACCTCGTGACACTGACTCGATGCGGTTTTGTTTTTGAGGTGACGGCGCGAGTGAAATCGCTCGTCCTTAATCAACGCCGGTTTGATTTATGCAATTATCGCATTTTCGTGTTTTAGGGTTCCGTACCCGAAGGGTAAAACGGGTACCTATTACTAAGACTCCGCTGTCTGTCTGTATGTCTGTCTGTCTATCCGTCCGTCTGTCACCAGGCTGTATCTCATGAACCGTGAGAGTCGACAGTTGAAATTTTCACAGATGATGTATTTCTGTTGCCGCTATAACAACAATTAATAAAAAATTAAATAAGTGGGGCTCCCATATAACAGACATGACATTTTTGCCGTTTTTATAGATAATGGTACGGAACCCTTCGTGCGCGAGTTGGACTCGCACTTGGCCGGTTTTTTTTTTGTTCTACATTCCATTCGACTCGATCGTAAGCGTTAATGCAGTCGACGGTAAAATCTTTAACATTTATTAAAAAGGATGACATTTTAATTGTTACGATCAATTCGAATTATTTCGAAGTATTTCAATTTGCTTCATTCGGGCGCTGCTCGTGAATTGATGTCGAACTTTTCCAGCGCAGAGTTAGGTGGTAAGAATTCGTCGGCCATCAAGCACGTCGATTTGGAACGCGCGAAATCCAATAAAGAAGCCGCGGCACCTGCGTCTTATTACATTCTTCCCGATGCCCGCCACTCGGGGCTGCCCCGAATCTACCCAACTTGCGTCCGAAAGATTACCGCCCGTCAAACTTTTACTTCAGAATTGCCGATTAGTATAAGTCGCCGCTGAGAAGTGTACGTTTTCGTAATCAGTCAGATTTTGTTCGGAAATCGCCGAACGGGTTTGGTTTCGTTCCGGAAAAATCAATTCAATCTGGCTTTCACCAACAAAACGAGTGATGTAGCGATAACTTAACGCTGATTGGATAGAGATTTACGAATTCCGAACGGCATCGTCTAATTGACCGACACTTCTTAAGTTAATTTCGCTTCGGCTGAAATAAAGTCTTAATAAACATACTGTTGTTTAGGAGACCGGTTGATATACAATTGTAGTTCTCAAATTTCGTCATTTTTCGGACGAGCTCAATTGATTTTTTATTACGTATGAAGCTTAATTTTTTTATCACAATTTTAATGCGCCAGCACAGGAAGTATAATAAAAGTTTTCGTTATAATTTATTTATTTATTTAATAAATTTTATTTTTACATAAAAATTTAATTAATACATTTTTATTTATAATGTTGTATATTACGAATGTAGAACGCATACCGGCCCGCTGGAGTGCTGTCACGTACATAACGTGGCGGCTTAATTAAGAAATCGCAAGTGACTCAAATTAAAATATTTCTCGGCACTCATTTAAGTACGTGGGACAATGGCGTCCCCGGGCGGGTATCGATTTCAATTGCAAAACAGCTATTAGCATACACGCTATGTGGGTTCTCGAAAGGCGCGAACCGCAGTACTAGTCTGCGCGATGTAATACAATGTGTGTATTTGCCACAGTCTTGATTAAAACGTTCATTACAAGGTACAGTCCAGTATGCGAGCACATGCAAATATTGCCTGAGGTAACACAACTAGTAAGTTATGCGATGAGATAATCATTATAAGTGTAGGTATCGTCCTCATTATCCGGTGCCTTAAGGTCTTATTAGACTTGGTTTATTGGGTCTTATTTCGCGTACACGAATAAAAGTTGTAAAGTTAAGTGACAGCATATACAGGGTGATTTTTTATGTGTAGGACATACTTTGACATATTGTTAATTGAGCATTCCATAATTAAAAAAAATATATTAATATTTTATTTTGACAAGAAATAACCAGAATAATATCAATTCAAACATTGTTTGTTTATCCCGTTAAGAGTGGTCATGCGTTCAGCGAAAAGTTGCTCTTGAATAGGTTATTGTATTGAAACGATAAGGCCGGAATTTCTTAAGGTGTCCATAATGTTTGAAAAAATTAAAAATAATCTTTGAAAAAATATGAGGTCAAAAGAACGTACCAGATTCAGATTTAGAATCAAATTCTACATATGATCTGTTAATATGTCTGTCGTCTACAAAATCACCCAATATACAACCATTTCCATTCAACCCATTCATATGCTTTGTGACCTTTACAAATGAACTTTGCGTTACAGTTTTATACGTAAGATACGTAAAATTTAATCACTTGGTAAATATTAATGTTGAAAGAATATAAATGCTTAATACAATTTTAAAAAGTTATCCTTTATATGTGTTTTACGACACGCTGTATATATCCCACTGCTGGGCAAAGGCCGCCTATGTTCAGAGGGTTTTGGGGCCATAGTCGACCACGCAATCTCACTGCAGATTGGCGGACTTCACATATTTTCGAATGATTTTTTTTGCAATTATTTCGAAAATCTCTTTTAAGGAATGGAAATTGATTACAAATTCACGGGTGTTCTAAATGTCGTTTGATAGCAGTAATTATTTACATCAGGAGAACAATCTGGTGGCTTTGGTCATTTAATTATAATGATTACTTTAATTGAGTTAAAATGCTTTTTAATATGTTTCGTCAAGATTTAAAAAAAATACCGTAATTACTCTTGCAACAAGTTCAAGATTGCACACCAAATGTTGCTTCCTTTCACATCACATAGTTATTATAACGTGATTTAATATTTGTACAGCTTCTAATGTGGTACTGGAGGCGTCTCTCATTTTGATATTTTCACAGATTCGCTACTAATTAACTGACGTTGCGGTGAATTATAATAGCGGGCTCGGGCGCGGCTAACTGTACGATATTCATAATTGGGTGTTATTACTATGCATTTGGGCGCTCGGCGGGTCTTCAAAAGGCGAACACCGGCGACTGTTGGTTCACTTTCGAACCGGTGCTATTTTTAGTTCGATTTCCACCGACGCACTCGTGACGGAAGATCGGGTTGTAATTTCACCCATTCGCTGTGAATGAACGAATGAATGGAGTGAAATCTAGGAAATGACATTTTTGCCAGTGTAACACTGAATTGATGAAAGTTACATCTTCATGAGTGTTTTAAGGAATATTAAATTTGAAATATATGCAAGTTAATTACTAATTCTGAGTAGACTGGTGTAAAATAAAAAAAAATGATAGATGTATATATTTATTATTTAGGCAATGTAAAAGAATTATTTGGTCCATTTTTTTAACAAATATTATGCCTAAAATCTAATCATGTTTTATGCATACGTTATATTTATAATGTATTTCTTGTACCCGTAGGTACGCCACAAGTTTAATTTTACTTTATAGCTAAACTTTCTTCATTATTCATGTCATACATTGAAATGTAAATCTACATAAAAAACTTATAACAAAAACTGATACCATGCATTACGAATAAAAGATTAAAGCAGTTAATATTACATAAAGTTTATCGAAGACCATAAATCATGTTTCGAAATGGGCAATGACCAGCAATAAAATGTAACGCTTCGAACAGCGTACTGAATCGCTAACAATGTTTCGTTTAATATTAAAACGATGTCTTCTTTAAGCCTTAAAAGGCAACCCATAAATAATGTTACGACCAAAAACCAATTCATATCATTGACAAAATAATGCATATTTAATTAGGTTCACTAATTTAAAAGTAATGTCTGCAGATACCGACGTAATATACATGAGGTTTTAGTTGGATTATAAATTTAAATAGAAATGTTGCAAGTTATACTTAAACCGACGATAAATGTTCAAATCATAAAACAACTACCTTATAGCTCAGCCAGTTTTCAGCTTTTATATTTCTTTATTGAGACTCAGTCTTTGGGATGCCAATGTTGTTTTCAGAGTAAAACTTTGGTGTATAGTTTTACCAATTGAAATTAATCCATACCTCATAATTCTGCATAAGAAGACTTATGTAATAATTGCGCTGTTTTCTCTTACACCTATATATAGCGTGACAGACGACGCCATTTTGAAAAAGTCAATACAGCAGAAATTTAAGTACCAAGACACAATCAATTTGATACTTTTAGGGCCACGGAACAATTACGGTGGTAGGCCTACGGAACAATCTTCGCTGTTGCACGAATAGCCAGGTCCGTCCGGGTAAGTACTGTAAGACCTCACAGAAGACCTTCACGAAATGGAAGCCGGGACTCACTTTATTATAAGTTGGCAACGCATCTGCAACCCAACGGATGTTGCAAATGTCCATGAGCGGCGGTTGTCTTACTATCAGGTGAACAACCAGCTCGGTAGCCACTTTCTCACATAAATATCTCACGTAGTTGATTTTAAACTTGAAACACAGGGTCTTATTAACCGTCACTACAAACGTAAGTTGGAACGGCCAAATATATTATTACGTTTTAACAATGAACAGCATCAATGACATCGCAGAGTTGTACAGCTTTTTATTACGAGTCTGTGATAATAGCTTGTAATTAAATTCCGCATAATAATGCGGAATCATTTCAATTAAGATGATTTATGCACTTCGAGATTAAATTAAGCTCGCGGTTTGTTTCTGCGCATAATTTACATGCGCCGAAGTTTGCCTTTTGTAGCAATTGTGATCATAATAAATGTAATCACAAATTACCATATACAAGCTTAAGGCGTGATTCATAATTACATTATATAATACAGTTATTTTTCGAAAACATAAGAAGTAATCTTTTTATTACTTTAAAATGTAAACAAGTAATCTTTAAAATTAAGCTCAATTAATTCGCTCAAATTTCTGTTAACATCCAACAAACAGATTTTATGTTATTAAAACTAAACAGTAATACTAATTTTGTCTTTCTTTTTACAGGTACGTTATAAGAAAAGAAATATTCAAGGCGCAGTGAAACAGAAGGTAACTACAGTACAGTTTAAGACAGCAAATTCGTACGTTATTTTGTAACACGATCTCTCTCCGTCTCCAAATTCATAACTATTAACACAAATATAAATCTGTCGTTTTTATTGACTGTTGGTGTAGGCTCTGCTTTAGGCTAGGCTGATGCCTAATTCTATGTTATATTCACCAAGACTTTAAGCCTAATCATAATAGCATGGTAAAAAAATCTGAGGCGCTTCTTTTACTGTGAAGAATTCGAAGAACATACAAACAAAAAACTTATCGATGCGTCATTAGGATTTGTAAATCGTAGACTTCAGTACTTGAGTTAACTACAGCCAATAGACACATGTTTGCAAAATAAAAAAAGAAAGAAAACGACGTCATATTAGTAACATTTCGCAGTCCCGTTGTCGGATATCAAACCCCTTCATCGTGTTTAATTAAATGGCGAACATTAGAAATAAACAACGATAATACAACCGTTAATTCAAAAGAAAAAACGCTTTTATCTTACAAAATATATAAATTTTAATTATTCCCGCTAATGACCACAGATAATTGTGAGAGGCGAGTTTTAATAACTGCAGCGCGGTGCGGTATCAACGATTGTTTTATACGTTTCTACGATCTCGGCGTTTCGACGCTCACGTTCCTTTGTGGGGGTGATTTACGACGCTTTATATACTTGATGTAATGAAGGCGTCAGTGCGTGCGCCATCTTTTCATCAAACTAACTGTAACGCTGTTAGCTTCAATCTTCTCCAATCTACTTACCCGACGCCGCGTCAATTCTGCTCCGCAATTTATATGTACTTTAACATTATACTCGTAAAGCATTTTGTTACGTGTTTAAGTAATATTAAAGGACCTCTTAATACTTCAATTAATACGATTGTATGTCATCATGATATTGACAACATGGTGATTTCCTGTAGTGACGTTTACAAAACATTGCTGAATTATTGTGATTCGCAAATTTTATGGGTGGTTTAAATTTTGATTTTATATGCGGTCACGGCTAAAAAGTTAAAACTAAGCGCGAAATAAATTTGTATCAACAAATTCAGCAATGTATTGATGGTAAAGTATAAAATAAGTGGATTAAGAAGATTCGTTATATAATATACATTATAAAACGAATCTTCTTAATTCACTTATTTGTCAAAAGCAAAGCAGTTGGATCTTGCACTATAAAAAGCGTTTAATATTTAACCAATCATATCATCATTAAAAGAACCTATTAAATGCTGGTGCTGTAATATATGTACAGATAATAAAAAGAAATTGCAAGAAATTTCTAAGCGTTGATGGTCACAGTAATAAAAACTTAGTCAGCAGATAGAATCAAAAATAGAATCTTATTCATAACCTCTAATATTCACTAATCCTCTAAAGTAAATCTTGTTTTCATACGGCGAAGGGAATTATCCATAATCTGTATCGATACCTTTGTATGATAGTCATGTTTTAGTGGAGAGTGTTTATCCAGTGCAGACGCAAAATTTGCTGTGAACGACAGGGGGGAGATAAACAAAACGGCGCATTTGTAAATTGAAACCCTTCCAGTCCTGAAGCGCTTTTATTTTAATGGTGCGCGTCCGAAAAGGGGTTCGAAGCGGATCCAGACATATTAATTGCGTCAGATGATTGTGCCGGCATCCGCGCGGAAATTAGAACCATTCGACTGTGGCACTCTCCCGCACCGACGCACCGTATACCCACGTGGCGAATACACAAGGAATATCGTTTATCCTAAAATCATACTAAATTTGTTTTTTGTTATATATTTGAAACTTCTTATAAAATTAATAGTGACAGAGAGGGATATCTTTCTTTTCTCTCATGTGTATAATCGCAAAATTTTATTCTCACTTCAAAATGGAATGCCTTTACCTAAAATCATCATTAATTTTAACCCAATACTATTTTCATTAAACAAATATAAAATGCGTGCTACGTTCCCAGGCGATCCACCTTGAAAAGAGAACAAATACAAAAAGATATGAATAGCGTCAGCTGACAGAGATAACTTATTCTAACCCCATTTTGACGAGATTAATACGAAATGTGACAGGTGAAGATTCGGTTGTAGTACATTTATAACATACGTGATACAGATATTTTTTCGCAAAAGAAATCCGAATAAAACAATCATTGGTTCACGCCGCTGGGATCCGAAGTTGTAGCTCCATGTCGTTAGACGACGCTTGAGTGTGGATAATTATGAAATTCCCACTAAATTCCGATAAAAGATAACATTTCCGCAACATAAGTTTACACTTTGACGAGCAGGCGTAGGATACACTGTTTTCACACTGTTTTTACCTCCCGTCATTTATGAAATAAAATCTAAACACACATAGATTGCAAAGCCTTTAAGATACTTCTAACCCTTTTTAATAGGCCATTAATCAAAGAAGAAGAAGAAGAACCCTTTTTAATAGATTGAAAATTATAATCTGCTTTATTATCGGATAGTGTCGCGCTCCTACCCCTAAACCCGGAAGTTTAGCCTCAGTCCAGTAACGCCCGCCAAAACGTCAGCATTATCTAACAGTTAGGTGTTGCGAGACGCCTTAATAACTTCCTCTGGTGCCCTAAGAGACCCGTACTGTGTTACGACATTCAGTTTAGGACCAGACGTCCATCGCACTCGGGCCTCGTGAAATATTAAAAGCGCCTCATCAGCGCACGAACAAATCCTACGGCGCGCTTAATATTTCACTTACGGTCTGCGGTCCCGGTCGGGGCTTTCTTGCTCGACTCGAGTTTCGTTTCAGAAGGAAGGCGCCACTACGAGCTAATCCCGATGCTCAATAGTTAATGTGCCAGTTTTTGTGGGAACCGCTCACCGCGTTAATATACGCTCGGGAATAGTTTGTTGTTCAACATTTGAGGGACCGGGTTACTTGAAATCTCTTGAAATATTTTTTTTTCTAAATCATATATATACCATTACGGCAATTTTTTTTTCTTTAATAAAAAAAATATTTCACATTTAAAGTAAAGAAACAGTAAAGTATTAGCCTATACATGTCTCACTGCTGGACAAAGGCCTCTGTACAGAGGGTATCAGGGCATAGTCCCCACGCGGCCCCACTGCCGATTGGCGGACTTCACTTATCTTCGAAATATTTTTGTTATTAATTCGAAAATATGCAGGTTTCCTCACGATGTTTTCCTTCACCGCTGAGCACGTGATAATTCGGCACTTAAAATTAACAATGTCTTTGGTGCCGGCACGGGGATCGAACTCAGGTTGCTCGAGTATATTGAATTAAAGGCGAGCGCCCGGATACTGAGCTATCACGGCAAAGTAAGTATCACTTTCACATTTAAATAGATGTAAAATATGCAAACTTTCTGTCAATTGTTTATTAAAGACCACCAAGGAACGTCATGAACCTCTCTCACGCGTTAAAACACAATAAATTCAAATATCTCTATTTATCTTCATGAGATCACTTCAATTGGATAAGAGAGTTACTCAAATTGAGATATTCGAAATCTAGTCTTTGGAGATCATTATTCACTAACCCCTCGACATTTAAACTGCAAATCATTGAATTTATTGTCGAGTATATCTCGATTATTTGAAATCACGATAAAATCACACTGCGCTTAAGTAAAATAAAGAGTAAACCCTTATGTTAGTTTTATGTACTTATTATACGGTTCGGACAAAGCTCCGTAGAAAGAATCGGTGTTTTCACTACGTAGAACACTAAGTACTACGCTAGAAGGATGAAAAAGCGTTGGGTCGCTGCCTTTTTTCATTATCCATTGTATACATAATTCCTCATTGTATACTTTACATAATACACGTATACTAATATACGCTCTATACATTTGTATACGCGAAAATGCGAGTTGCCTGCGTTAAACGGATGCGGCGTTAACTTGGCCTTTAATGAATATTCATACGAAACGACACCGCTTGCCTCGAATTCGCAAGAAATAATCCACCGACACCCGGCGATCATAAATCTCTCAATGAGACTCCTCATTCAAATAAATACAAAATTCACGTAGCCGCTTTTAGTAACATAAATAATGTACTCCGTGTCGAGTAGAACGGCGTTTTCGTTAATCTCCTTGGGGATATATTTCAGGGTTTTGAAAATCATAGCGGATCATTTGCTTGATTAACATGAGTCTATCGTTCAAAGTTAAAGTAAATTAAAGCAAATATAACACAAGTAATAAGTAATATCGCTATGAAAAGACGTTGCTTGGATAATTCTTTAATTTAGCCTTCCTTTATTTCGGGCTGAGTAAATGTGTTTAATGGATTCACTTTGTTGTTTGCAGGCATGGTTGGTAATTCATTTGTTTCATTACTGACTTCATCGTTTCCAATATTACACTGTTTATCCGGGTACAATAGGCTTAAATATTTCCACTAACAATGCACAGATAATCCAACGCATTCATAGCTGTAACCTGATTTCGAATTATGTGCGAAAAGTACACATCGAGTGCGCTGAAAATTAAACAAATTGATATCCGGCGTAAACCACTATTTGGTTTGTTCGAACGTTCCTCGTAGCAATGTTTCTGTTATGATGTTAGCATATTCGTTCGGTTAGCACGAACTATATAGGTAACGTATCCATATTAAATAATGTATTTTCGAAGAGAAATTGTATTTGCATTTTAAAAGAAGAAAGAATATGTATTAATATCGTTAAAACTTAATGGAGTAGTTTCGAATATGAATGAACAAAAAATAGTTCAGTAACTTTATTAATCAGAATCTTAGGTTTATAACAAAAGTAAACGACGACAAAAGTGAACAGAATAGTGTATTGCACGGGCTATAAAACTGTTTCCTTCGCCGCCGCCGCTGTTTGGAATTCTTGTGTCAATTAAGCAATTGTTTGTGCACACGCCTGGTGACACTCCGCGCGAACGGTTTCACGGAACGCGCTTTTCCTCGACTAGGGACAGAGGTACTAGGTACGCGTACACACAAAACTTTGAGCCTTATCGCGGCCGCATAAAGACAGCGGGCCGGCGACTGTACGCGCCGAGGCCAGTTCTTTGAAATCGACTCCTTTGTACGTACAGTCGTGCCCAACGTTTTTAAACTCTCAAAGGCGGTCCATCGAATACGGTACAGCCTTTTTCACATGCACGAAAACAGCGCGGTAGGAAACTACTCATATATCTATCGCCATCCACATCCCGTATAATTTTACAAATATGAACACTGTTTTAAACGGTATGAGCTAATTGACTGATGTATTCTAATGTCGGTAACATAACATAGATTAGAGATTACATGTAAAGTTAGAAATTAAGCTGCGTATAAGTTATATATGGAAAGTAATATGTGCCTGTAAGCTAAAAGTCGCTGCAGAGGGTATCAGCACATAGTCCGCCTCACTGCTCTATTGGAGATTTACTACTTTATACGTCATATTTGTAAACTTACCGACGATGTTTCCCTTGAACGAAACCGCAGTAAAGTAGCTGATCGAGGACATAATGCATCAGCATTACTACTACATTGTTTTCTGTACCGGGAATAAACTCAGAACGCGTGATTGTACTGAATTTAAAAGCGAGAGCAGTAACACTGAGCTGGCGGGGTTTGGTATATGAAAATAAACGTGATAAAATTGTAAAATTAACCCCATCTCCAACGCCAGGAACATGGTGCGGCTTTGCACCACCTCAGCCATTTATTGGGCAACTGAGCTCCGAAGCAATGAATCCCGAACTGATTATCCGCAGATGCTTAAGTAATTCCTGTCCGTTCCTTGCTAATTGCGGCAAACGGACGCATTAATTCTTTCTCCTCCTTCGGCTTATTTTTCCGTTTAAACTCGCCGGCTTAATTAATTGGATTGATTTAGATGGAGGCGTGCTCGGAATCGGCGAGCGTACGTGGATTATTACTGTTTCATTCTATTGTAACTGATTAGTAAGCGAGAGACGAGGCGTTACGGAAAACGGACAATTAAATAGAAGGCGGCAGTACCGGAAATCATTCCTGTGTACATAATGTTGCCTAGAGCATTGTCATAAAAGATTTTCAGTAAGCAAGTGCTTACGAATTATGTATCGAACATATTATGCCAGTTATGTTTTCATTGAATTACATTAATCTGGTTTCCACTTTTCAACACACTCCAAAAAAGGAGGAGGTTCTCATTTCGACTGCATTTTTTTATGTTTGTTACCTCAGAACTATCGACAAATAAAATGTAATACAGAGCGATAAATTTTAAGTCGCTTTGTTTTTCGTTAATAAAAAAATGGTCTTGTTATATATCTGCGACTGATTACGTCGTGTATATTTTTCTCATCTTTCCTACATTGACAAAACACTTTAAATCCAACAGGGAACAAAGGACAACAGATGCTGTTGATGCTGAAAAAAGATTTTAATCCCACTGTTGACGTTTATTCAAGGGATGTTCCTAACTAAAATTCTTAGAAACTTTTTCGATCATATGCTGCCAGCAAAAAGTAATTTACCAGGATGGTAATTTTGTGAACATACATACATTTGGTCATAATATAATAAAATATAGTAAATATGAAAACAAATATAAATGCAAAATGTGTATGTACATTTTATTGTTGTATTTGCCTCGTGTGGCAGACATTGCCCTCGAATTATTCTTCGATCTTATCTCGCAAGTGTCATATCGAAAACAAGGAATGTGTTTATATTCGAGCAAATTCCATTAGTGATTACATACATACACCAGTATACATTGTATTGCAATTGGCAGCTACAGAAAAAACAAAAGATATTGGCATCTTTGAACTAATCATATACATATACGTAATGCATTAAGATTGTAATTCAAAAGGTCACGGCATAATAACAGTTTTGTTTTCGTGCTAAGCGCAGTAAATTGAAAGTACTAAATACACACGGCCACAACTAGATACTCAGACAGACGCCTGGGGCGAGGCATAAAGGGACGGTACCTAAGACTAAACAAAAGTTAAATATATCCGCAAATGTTGAAGCTTCGAAAATATATTAAACGGGAGTGCATTTGTCTTGTGTCGATGTATTTATAGGGGAATCGTGAGGGCGGCGGCCGGGTTCGGGCGTCGACCGCGCTGCAAGGCCGCACCCGGCCAAACTTGGCCCAGCTGCGGCAATACCTGATCCAATTATTTATGCATTTCGTCTGCAACAGTTCAGATTTCGGTCTGCGGCGTGGCGCGAGCGCTCGGGCGGTCCGTGACTATCAAGTTGACCGACGGAAGGCGAGACGGTTTTTAATCGATCTTCGAAAATGTTTTATAGCGGCGGCTTCAGGCGGTCCTGGCGCCCCCTTTTCGTCTAGCCGGCTGGCGTACCTGAATGGGCGTTGACACTCGCTAATGCCAAAGTTTTACAAGACTTATTCTTGATCGTTTTTCGAACGAAATTCACGAAAGGAAACTTGGTTATAACAAATACACATCGCGTCAACAATAACATGTCAGCTATTAAATTAGTCTGAGTTTGTAAAGTATTGAAACGATGGCCTAATTCGTTCCTTTAATGATTGATACATCCTGTAACCTGATATTGCGACTTGAAGAATTATGGATTTTTTGCTTCGCAAGACACTGTTGAAATTTCATTTAATTTAGTTATATCCGCCCATCGTAGTAGATCTAATGGCTTGATTGACTTGCATATCCTTCATTGGTAAATCTTTTTGAAATATATTACGTAATTACAACTCGCTTTTAACGAAATGCTTTGAAGTATTTAATATTTTTATCATTGATTATAGTCAATATGGGAGCTAAAGTGTGTCAATTGATTTTGATGATTAACAGAATTATTCAGATTTCGACACTCGAAGAGGTTGTCACAATCAATATAACAACAATTACTATAATATCATCAAAAAGTCGTAAAAATAATATAGTATATTAAATACAATAAAGTATCAAGTGGCCACCACTTTATAAAGTAAAAATAAAATGATAAACTCATCAAAATACACAAAGACGGCGTATTGACCCGATCTACTCCCTCGAGGAATTCTTTTGATAGTGGAAGATACATTAAAGTTATCGGTGCCTTCAAACTTTACCGCAATCTTACTTACTCTATGGCAAGACGTTGAAAATACACTCCGAGCACATTCACCGCACATGTCCCGCTTTGAAACGACCCATCATCAGCGCACGTCGATGGAAAACTGCATAAATATTTACCGCCCAAATGGCCGTACCGCGTGTCTAATGTTTCCTTTCTAACACACCTTTTAGCCGATGTATTGACATATGCGAGGAGCATTAAAATATATTCATGCTTAGCATTTTGTTGTTCACTTCAGCCGTTGTGCTTAAGTGGCACTAAGCGCTTCAGGGACGTAAATTGCCTTCGTTTCACAAAACGCGTAGGTGAAATTTTAGGTGAAACTTATTCATTGCTCTTCTGTAAAGTGTTTGAAATTTAATAAAAGCCGTAATCTACCATTATTGATTGCAGAACATCGAATAAAGCTTCTTTGCTGTATCTGATAATAAATTTGCTGGCTATCATGACATTTTATTTTAATTTAATATTTGATATTGTAATTGTGGAATTTAGGGTTATTGTATTTACATATTTCACGACAAGCTGCATGTTATATATTGTACCCTAATATTCCAACCACACTAATTTCTACAAATTCACTTTGTCAATTCTAGTCCGGCGTCTAGAACGTTAGCAAATAATTCCAAGCGTCTGATCGATCTCAGATGTCTCAGATAACATCTGGCCAGATTGAAACAACTACAGACACCTCAAAACCGTCTGGTTAAATTAATGCATTACCAATACCGTGACTCATGTAACTTATATATTATTTACGGTTTCTTCTCAGCAGATCTGTTACTTTGTATACGAAAAGCAATGTTTGTAACCAACCCACGGGAGTGAAAACAATCTATCTACATTCGCTAATGAAACAGTAGAGATTGCAGGGTATTTTTCCACTTTTCAGAGACTGAAAACTGTTTTACAACTCACATTACTTTTAGGTAGAAAATCATAAAAGCATATATCTGTAGATAACATCATATTGTTTAATATTGTACAATTATGTTAAGACCATATCAAAACTATATGACTGCCGGTCAGTAATGAATAATATTCAATAATCTTTGCATCCGTTCTATCTATATAAAATAACATGAATAACTCTCGATCTGAGTTTGATTACATTTTCTATAATAGATGAATAAACATTTATATATAAGTACTCGTACATATTAACAGGTATTTGTAGCCTCACTCAATCAGGAACTAAGTAATATGTTATAAAAAGACTTTAAACAATCAATCTGCTGAGTTTTCAATTCGATCATATGAATTTTAGGAATTATATTACATTGATAATCACTTTTATTATCGGTGTAGGCAGGATATTTTTTAATATCGATTCCAATTAGACCGGTGACATCTGATTCGGGAAGATACGCCAGAGCGTTGCGCTCTAAATACCCGTATGATTGAAATGTCGGTTTCACGATTTGCAATTCTAATCCATTGTTCTGTGTTTGAATTCGCCTTAATTTAAGGCACATGCCCTATTGAAAGTACAAAAACTCTTTCTTTATATATCATTCGACCTTATCAGAAAGTGGTTTATATTTATTTTATTAATTACATTTTATTTATTAGTACGTATTTTTAGAATGCGACACATAAATAATAGCACAAATTATTAAAAACGGTCCTAATTATAAAGTATTACGTAAAAACTACATCGGTAACAAATGAAAAATGCAGCACTATACATTTTATACACACTTGAGGTTAACGGATGGTAAATAGATCACAACTTGGCCCTATTTGGCTTATTTATCATCTCCAAGCTATTGAGCGACTCCCTGTAAACGAACACCAAAATTATGAATTGGATCTGATTCAATCCCGCCACGCCCTCGGGAATGAAGTTACTTTAGCCCGTGGCGCCTGTACGCGACAAGCCACAGCCTCCATCTCTCGCCATGCTCTCGCCCCCTGGAGAAATCTCTTCCAGTTCATTTATTTTGTTTGAGCGCCGACTTGCTTTCAAGTACCAATAATTGCATCCCTTTTGTTTGTAGAACGTTCGCTTTTTTCACGATTGTGTTTACGTTATGGCGGATTGATTGCGAACATTGTATTTCGAACGTGCTATTTTTGTGCGAACTTTTAGGTTGATGACGGTCAAAATATATCGTACAATACCGAATACTGTCAAATATGTCGTAAACAAAAGACATGCTCAACTATTAATATTATTACTCTGCTCCTATCTTAGTAGGTTTTTCCTAGCAGTTTCTTCAGATGTGAAATTCTTAAACCGATAAGTTGAACAATGTTTAATTTCGCATTGACAATTAAACAGGAATGCAATTAGCGGGCGATATGGTGGCGAGTCCGGTTTTAAATTAAACTACGTGCCGTTGGCGCACGAGGAGAAAAACGATTTTAACTGAATAATGCAGTATCGGGGGCCAGTCGGAGGTGTGATGGCTAAATAAGACAATGATTAATCAATAAAGATCGCTACGTGCGCACATGCCTAGCGGGCCTGGCGACGTAATAAGAGACTGGATCGCACCGCGCGTCCAGTGGCCCAGTCGGACAATGGCGGACGCATAATGGGTCCCCGCGTCATCAATCAAAGGTTGCAGCCACCCCAAGCCACCCCCGACAGACGGACTGACCCCTACAGGTAACGCGCGGACTATCGAAAGCTATATCAAAGCACGCAACGCTACGTTATATTTTAATTTAACGTGCTTATGCCAGCAAATTGCAGATCTCGGTTGGTCAGCAAATTTAGTTTGTCAATGATGATGTTTTAAAGCAACGCTCGCGTGATTGGTCCATCATCAGTTAGCCTACCTGGTGTATCCCTGGATCGGTCGTATAACGGTTTAAGAGCAGACCAGATACGAATATATTTTTCATACAATTTTTTTCCTATTTAATCTTAAAAGAATAATATGACAGTGCCGTGTTATTTAGCTTTTATTGAAAAGGTCTTAATTACGAACCAGTCACTTTCATAAGTGGCTTAAACAAGCAAGAATGTGTCTTTTAATGTTATGGGGGTTCGATTCCGTAGGATACTGTACGATAACATTATCCAGTGTTATAAGGACGAATTTACAAACGAATAAGTATTTCATATGAGTAATTGAACTCTACGTTCTTGTTATTTGTGAACATATTATCTATGATTTGTGCCTTTGTAAAGGACATAGTTCGACGTTCATCATAGATCCCTATGCATAAACTGTACTGGCAAACCGCATGTACGCATGTATGTATGCGTGTATTGAATAGGATCTTTCCACTTGCACGGTATACGAAATTTTATCTTAATTGCATTAAGACAGAAGAGAAAATGGCGTGTGTGTTGGTTAGAAGCACATTTGTTTAAAACAAACTCACCCACTTACGGTCGCATTGCAAACAGAAGGCTACGTCGCGTGACGCCTTGCCCAAACATATGCCTTTCATTTCGCGTAAATATAATTCTATCCCACCTTCCAATCCGCTTCGTATCGCGCAGTTTGTTTTTTGTATATAATGTTAGTGTTGGCGTCATTCATATTTCGCTCTGCTATAATCATGCATTAACAATAACTGATAATAAATTAAATATAAACGTTTTTAATTATATTAAACAAATATTTACTACATTCAAACTGGAGATAAAAAAACTATAAATTATAACATGTTAAGCTCTCTACTAACATTAATTATATTGCATAGAATAGTGTTTTTTTGTTTATATTAGATTATATTATTATTTGTTAATTTTAATTTTTATATAGAAATGTTGAGCATACCTTTAAGTTAAATACATATATAGTATAATTCTGTTGGTAACTGTAAATGTTTATTAATAACGTTCTGTATGTGTTTATTTGGTAAGCCTAAGTAAATAATTAAAATACTTTTAACAGAAAAGATCTCCTTGCTATGCAGTTTTTGATGTTCGCATCCATTTGAATGTTACGAATTGCGCATTATTATATTTATTATTTAATAATGTCATTTTACACTGAAATTTCAACAAACTTACCCGTTCTACGGAATATTACACGAACGAAATTAGTAAATATTTTATGTTGCATATCTTTATATCGACCTAATATTATTTACTAATAAATCATAAAAGTGGGCGGTGAACGATAATCCGACATTGGAAAAAATCCAGATAGCAAAATCTGGAATAATAATTCTATCATAATTATAATGTTATGCTACTGCTTGACTATGTGGTTCACTATACATTTAACATCACTAGGTAAGTTTTAACAACTTTGAATTATATAGGGTAGGCAGAAATAGTTAAAGATATTAACTATTCAGCGAGCTTTTAAACAGGCAACTAAGCAAGCTTCCTAAGCTTCAAACAAAATGTGGTGTTTGTCGTCGCGCCCATAAATAGGAAAAATACGTGGTTTGCGCCTTTAGATTTTGAACGCTGGGAAATAAAAAATTGCTATGTTTGAAACCATAATACAAGGTCATAGTTTTATTTATAATTTAACAAATGCGTTCACATACTCTTCGCTTCCTACAATTATTGCGATGAAAATTATTTACACAATGAAACGACATCATATGATGTGCTTGCGTGCTATGCGCCTTTTGAGTCATAAAAATAAACTTACAATAAAACTATCTCTACGCAGAAATGAAAATGCAATAAAGCACAAAAGTTGCAATAAATTCGCGAATGCTATTTGGCAGCGGCGGCAGATAAATATTAAAAAGAGATGCCGTTTCACTGACGTTATTGTTCGTATGACCGATGCACAGCCTTAAAAGCTACAACAATGCTCTTTAAATTCATTTATTTCATGGCAAAAGGAAAGCGTATTACAAAGGCCAAACAATAAATAGGAAATGGAAAAAATTTATACAGCACTGTTTCATAGCTTTAGCTTTAACTAAAAACCGTCTGAAGGTCGTCGGACAAAACGGATTTCCATTTAACCTATTCGTTCTCAACATAGCCGCTCGGAAATTGGAACAAAGTCTATATTTACATACGATTAGAAACAATCAATAGTTGTAACATGGTAATAATACCGATCGCAACGCCACAGATAGCGTCGCGTCTCTTTGTTCTGTCCCTATAAATAGACGTAATCGACGTCAGAACGAACAAGTATGTAGGAAATGAACTGCACGGAGATATTGTACGACGCCACGCAGAGACTCGATTGAATTGTGCGCGAAATGAGCAAGAGAACCCGTGGACGCAATACAGTTCGAAACATTCGTTTATTTGCATCCCGTGAAAATCGTATTCGGCTGTTCTCACGGCGCTGGCAACATTGTTTATTCCCAGCCAATCTGAGCTTACGACTCAACGGTCCCTCATACATAAACATGACGAAAATCATCCTGCATATGGCTTCGAAATATGACAGCACAGTCGTCCGATGCGGGGGCGTTTGATTAGAAATCGATAACTATATGCGTCACACGCCGGCTTACACCGACGTATTGTTATTCCGCCCATTGTGACGCGACCCTTCGAATGTTATCTATTGTATCGTCCGTAGTTCGTCCGTAATCCCAATCGCCGGGGATTTGAGCGTTTCCTACCCGCAACGGGCCACTATCGCTTTCGTTTCGGCCGCGGGCGACAATCGATGCGAGCAGCCGGTTGACAAAGTCCATCTGTCATCGGGCTTATCTGTTTTAAAAACGTCCTGTTAATCACTTCACACTCGTTGCTCGATAAATGCTATTTGCAGCTATTTACGCAGCACTCGATTCTATCTTTAAAGCGGGTGTAAAACAACAAACACGTTGAGAGAGTTATCTATCGGCGACACAGTCCTGGTTGGACGCCCACTAAATATCGATTGGGGATTGTGTTTATATGCAGTCGACAAATGCCCGTTGATAAGTTAAATTCTTACCGCACCTACACTTTTGACGTAATTTGCCCTTTAGATTGCATCTTTAAGGAATGCGGCGAAAAACCATAAAAATAGCAACTTTTTGCATGTGCGACTCTACATTAAAATGGATTTATAACTTGAAAAATATAAACCATTTTGGGACAGTAATTATTCATACCTCAAAAAGCGGCCGGTTTCAATATTCTATCAACAGATAGATTTGGTTACTAGTGATAGGTTTTTGACATTAGCTCCATAATACTTACGTCAAAATTCGATCTCCATTAACCAAATCTCTTTGTAGATTGAATATTCAATCCGGCGCGGCCGTAAAAAATCACTGTTCAAAAAATGTATGGATATGAAAAGACTCTCTCGCCAGCAATTTCAAATGTCGATGACAAAAATATTGAATCTATAAATTACTTTTAAATAACAAAGTACATACGTAAACTGTTCAGTAGTATAAGCTTCATTTAACTGAATATTACACGTAGCACTACTAAGTGGATTGATGGTGGACTACATAAAAATAAGACCTTTATTTTAAACCTACCGTTCGAGGAGCAATTATTTATAGAGTAGACATGACATTACAATAATATTTTTTGTTATTTAAATCATACAGTGTGTGCCTCTTATTGGGGTGGGTTTCAAAACGTGTCACTTTAAGAACATTAAAAGCGACACAGAGAAACAGCGTGTGTCTGAAACATCAATTAGTTGTAATTTATCTTGGTGCATATCTCAAGTGTTTAACGCCCGTGCAAACGCACACGTTTTATCGATCATAAAAGTATTTCGTAAACACACGATCGGCTAATGACCGATGATTCAGGCGCCTTGCATATGCGAAGCAAGCCAGCGACAGGGAGCACATATCTCTATTAAGATCATGGGGGCAATGTCTCGCGCATGACTAATTGGTCGCGATATCTTAATGGATTGCGAAATCTATAACTAAGTGGACACACGTGTACGGCTAGGCCGCGTGCACACGGCGCAGTGCAACTCGACGGAATACGATGCAGCCTTATCGGAAAAGTACCCAGACGAGGTAGCAGTGATTACTGAAGTTTGTTTGTCGACGATATTCTAGATGTTTTATATCTTTTAAGAAAACTAATAATTCATATGTAGTGTCATAGCTCGCATGGGTATATTGATATATAAACACTTGGCCAATCAAACCTACGAAGACTTAGGGGCGGCTCTGATTAGTACGGAGGTTTATAGCTTTTTGTGCATAACAAACAAATAAATACACTAAAAGAAGAGTGAAATCTTAATAATTTTAAAATTCATAAAGAGAAATTAGCACGAAAAATTCCGTTTCTTTACCCGTATAATATATAACACCATATCGATGTATCGAGCTACATAAATGAATTTTGATAGAGTCATGACTACTCTGAAGCACGTTTCGACAAAATATGCGGAAGGTAGCTTGTTGCAATTTAAGGACAATCGCCTTTTGAATAAAAATGCGAATACATGTATAAATTTCACGGCAGATCTCTTCGAGTCGCCATGATTTATTTACAAAAGACTGAGCGTGAGTTTCAAAGGATATGCGTTAAAAGAAAAGGCAACAAGACTTATGTGAATTCGAACTTTAGCAATTGTAGAGTTTAATTTAATCTTAGGGACAATGAATATATAAGTTAAATATTTATTATTTTATTATATAGCAGCTACCTTGTACATCTCGATAAGCGCATTGTGTTTTAAATGTTCGCATATACTTCAAATGTACTAGACTTAATTACATTTTAGTAAAAAATAGTTTAATACCAATTTTTTTATTAAAGAAAATGCAAGAAATTAGACGCAGTAGACAATCGAACGACTAAAGAAAAGTTTCAAATGTAACCGTGTCGCCGTGATGTGTCTAACAGAGGGAATATTATATTTTTAACATTTTTAAACACTACTTTTTAAATATCCTTGCCAAGATGCAATGATTACGACAGTATACGGTTTCAATATATAATTTTCACCTCTCGTAAAAATAAAATAACTTTCATTGACAACTTTTCCACATGTTTTAACCTTTGGTGATCGATCGATATGCGAAAATAATTCGCTTCGGACTCAAATGTAAACATTTAAAGAGATAAAAAAAGTAAGCAACAGTACATTGTAAACCGATCACGTAGTAGCTCGCACATCCTTTATCTGAACTTTAAATGAGGAATTTTATAGCGCGAAGTAAAATTAACATCGAAGCCATCATCTGACACTTTCCTGCCTCGTGCAGAGTGCACGGCCGCGCAATAAATCTCGCGAGTACACCCTCGTACTCGTGTATGTACTATGAACACTTTGAAAGCGGTGGAAACGCCTTTCGTGCTCCGGAAAGATCGCTACGCTGACCACACATAGTTCGCGCGAGATTGCACAGTTTATCGACCTCCGCAGCCGCGATGATAAAACCACGCTCCATTTACGGTGTTTATTTAACTCTCGCATTAACACTTATTCAAACAGCCGCACGGTCCTGGCATTGAATTGACTTTTAAATTAATCGAATAACAAGCGATTTCCCATTTATGTTTCACGCGCCGGCAATTAACGTTTCGATACGATTGCGAATGCACCGGCCTTAATTCGAAAATTGGAAAAGCAGTGAACACGGCGGAGATAATCGTGCTGCATGCGCGCAGACAAGCGAGCACGCGGTGACAAATCACACCGCTGAAAACTATAAAACCGAACGTCACTATCTAGGTGATAAATTGGCAAACTATAAAACCCCTCTCCCCGTCTGCATTGGAGCCGCGGTGCGCCTGTGTGCAAATGAAGCGGCGCGCCGTATGCCGAAGGACGCGGCCGCATTCCGCGCCCACCAACACAGCGGGGATGGCACACATACCGACGCCGGCACGCGTGTGTGCGCGAGCCAGCGCATTAACGTCGAAGCACATACATAAGGCACTTTTGCACTCTACCGACTCAAGCAGCCAGTGCACTCGCACCGCCGCCTAAATGAGAATTGTCATTGCGACGCGCTGCGAAATGAGTTTCGTTATTCCGATGCGTTCAACGCTATACCCTATTGGTATGTTGAGCGGAGGCGATTCGAATTCTGCGCGTTCTTTCGCGTACGGTACAGCTAGTCGACGCGGAAACTGTTTGATCACGGAGTGAGTTCGTCCGCTAATCCCGGCCAGGCGCTGGAGCGAATCGCATGTATGCTGCCTGCCGAAGCAGAAACTCGACAGACCAATCCGACTTCTGATCACGTGGTGGCCACGCTGTGCGCGTTCCGCAATTATCGCATCGGGAACTTTAAGTGCTCTGACATCGTGTACGACGCACCAGACGTGTGCCAACTGCGCCAGCGACGTGACCACGTCGGCCAATAGCCGCGCAGGAAAACCTATTCAGATCTTATCTGACCCGTCCTCGTGTAGGTTGAAATACGAACATCAGACGAGCGAAGGTCTTGACGCGGAGTTTTTAGCGTTGCGTATGTTATAATCGCCTTTGTGAACTAAAATGTTAGCGAGGTAACAATATGCCTGACATTTGCGTCGAACTTTCTAATCATGCTCCAACAGATTTCTATAGGAAGATCCTTGAGAATCGAACGGCTTAATCTCCGATTCACATCACTTACTTGGTTTAGACTACAAGAAAGAATGAAAAACCACTTTTGCAGATAGTCTCTTTTCTTTTTCGTCATATTGTAAAGAAAAAAATATTTTACAACTATGTGAAGTGAAGTGATATTTTGATGAAGTATCTTAGAAATGAAGATCTAAGAAATTAAGTGATATTTTGATGTTATAGACTTAAGATGGCTTCGGATTTTCTTGGAATAAAATTTCTTGAATTTTGTGAACTGGATATTTATTTTTCCTTTTACAACAGAGAGCGGCGAGAAAAGAAGTGGGAATGACAATTTTTACATTGACAGATGGCCAAGATAGAAACGTATATTTTTTAAATTATTGACCTGGCGTTATGCAATTTGAGCTGTCAAAATAAAAAGACCTATGATATCAATATCTGTCCCAAACAATTGTATCGTTTAATATTGATAATTGGCGTTTGGAAGCTTCGCGTCGGGGCAAATTACTCACATCTCTGACGGACCAACAATTCGGGGGTGGCATTCGGAATTCCGGGAAGATAACTGCGCTTGTCATCGCGGCTTTGTTTGCGGCTGACTGTCAGCTGCTAGCAATCAGGCGGGTTGCGGGGGCGAGGAACGGGGGGGGGAGCGGGGGGGGGGGGGGGGGGTATCGGGATGTCTAAGGCGGCTTCCAATTTGGATGTCTAGCAAATCGAGTGGCTCTAGCCAGCGGGTATTCGTGGATCGCGGAATATTGAAAGGTACTTATGCTGATTCAAATCAAAAGAAGAGAAGAGCCCTACGAACCAGAAATTGGCATAGAAAACTCCATTGGAACGTGATCCATCGTTATAAATGTAGTGCGGTTTGACTAAATTTTTGAATTTTTAGCGAAGAGTTAAATTCATTCAATAAATAGGTGATTAGTCGAATTGATCGTCAGGAATTTAACCAGCAAAAGCAATTAAAATCTGTGATGCATTATTAATAAAATGATAATACTTGGAACGCGAAACATCTACGACGGGTGTCATCTAGTCACAACGGCATCACCGTATAACCTGGAATAAGAGAAAATCTCACGAGTCTTAAATTGTTAGTGTTGGTACGTCGCCGTTCAGTGAATCTTCTCTGTTTTATCCTAGCCGCTCTTACGACTTAGCGAATTGCGCCAACTCGGGCTTTATCGCCACTTAAAGGTTTACCACTAAAGTGAAAACGCCGACCGATCTCCACAACCCGACTAAGAACGAACTTACCGCCGATTAAAACTCAATCTAGCAAATCGATGCACTAGTAACTATAACTTAAATAATTAAAATGAACATTAAATTTATAACGTTACAAATTAAACAGAAGTGACTTTATAAAAACTTCTATTTTTAATATGAAGACGTTAATATTATCCAGAGCTTAACGATTATCGATCCCTACGAAAGCTGATGAAGCTATTGAATAAACAGAAAATAATTAAGATGCAATACTTTTCCACTCTCATCTTATTAATATCAGCGGTCGTATAGCTTTACATCGTGTCAATTACACGGACAAAAAATCGAACAATGCGCGCCACGATTAAAAAGACTTCACTGCCCCCTCGAGGCTACACACAGCCGACGGGACGGCGGCGACGCGACTACGCGACGCCATTTCTCCCATCGACCTACATGAATCCGCGAAGAACGCAATCATGTCTTAATAAAGATGACGCATGTCCATACTGCGCGGAATTTAAAAACTGTTTCGTTTTACATTATAGAACATATATTATGTGAATACGACAGAAGATATATAACGTATGCTGCGGAGAGATAGCACTTTGTAGATTTGCAATCTAATTAAACCAAACGTCGTTATTTGAGTGCCTCAGTTTCGGTGTGCTAGTGTCATCTCTCCCTCGTATTTGTTCATGTAAAATCATTGGTAAAACGACATTAATGATTATCATACGCTCAATGTCTATTATATTTGAAATGACCGTGGACTGAAACTTGAAAACCTATCTGCACTTATACTGAGTAAACAATAAAAATGGTCGATTAATTCAGTAGTCATTACCAAATATCATCATCATCTTTGCGTATCACTATTCTCTTCAATACTTGATTATAAAAGAAGATATAATGATTGTGTTTTATTTAATAATTTGCATATTAATGGTCATGGTCAGTGGTTATCTTTGCGTTAAATTACTATACTACAGTAATTGCTGGATTAAAGGTTGTCAGAAAGGTACTAAGATCTAGATATATTTATGGAGAATCTGATAAAGCAATTGAATAGAAATACGCGTTTGAAACGTGATTTTGATGTAAATTAAAAAATATATGAAAATTAACTCTCTCGGAAATTTCTTCTAAAGTCGTTCTATTGACAGATTGAACGTACGTGAAAGTACTTTTATTGTTCGCAGAACGTAACTAAAACGCAGCAATTACATAATTTTAATCCTAATTATACCCCCTAGTACGTCCCCGTGAATCAAATAATGGAATTAAAATGAAAAAAGTCCAATTGACATTCATTCATTACAGATATTTGTAGAAATATATTCTCAACCCTGCAAGATATCGAAAGAAACTACTAAATTTAAATTAAAACTCTTGTTCTAAATCTTTTATTTTATTGATCTATCAAGATGGTTTGGTGCATATTCTAAAAAAATAACGGGTACGTTTTTTAGCATATGCACCAAAATTGAAGATTTTTAAGACGAAAATTCTAAAAATGATCTTTTATAGCTGGGTACCAAATAATAGCAGAGTTCATACAAATTAAAAAAAATTAAATTGTTCAATTAAGGTGCTAACATATCAAGTGTTCACCGGTGAATGAAAACGTCGTGAGGAAACCTGCAAATTTTCGAAATAATAAATTAAAAAAATCGAAAATAAGATGAAGATCGCCAATCCGCAGTGGGATTGCGTGATAATGAGGAATATCTTAATACCCTCTATACATAGGCAATTGCTTTACTTCACTTTACTTAAATTTTGTCTTCCATTTTGATTTCACAGACAGACACTACAACTTTGTTATTGATATAGATACTATCCAAAACCAAAATTACAACTGGTTAATACAGACATGCTATATACAAATTAATCGTAAGTGTAAAGAGTTCTATAATACACTGCAACCTTGTGATTATAACCAAATGCGCTAACCTACATGAAACACGTTGAACCCCACCATCTAGGAAAGTATTCGCTCATTAAACTTATCAGCACAATTAGTGGTAATTGGCTTTAATCATTGACACAGACTCGTCAACGACTTTTTGGAACGATGCTATTATTACAAACGACGCAACGTTGCTAAATTTTAATAATGTTTTTAGAATAAACATCTCACAGTGGAGATTGAACCTGTCACTTCCACTACTCGATAAATAAAAAATATTGTGTGATGAACAGTGTTTGTCTAGTATCTGGGTGCCATTTGACATAGCACAAGCTTTGCTTAGTTTGGGACTAAATGACTTTGTGTAAAAATATTTCCTGATATGTTTACCATTATTATTTGTATCGATTAGGACTTTAAACCCGCGTGACGAACAAAATAAGGTAAATGGATAAGCGCCTTCTGGTTTTGGAATATGATCATGAATCACGATAGATATACGAGCAATCTCATTATTCTAATAGACCGTCGTAAGTATCGTCGCGTGTGGACTTAAAACGCTGATAATGACACGCACAAAAGAAAAGTCAGCCGCCTACCCGTACCCTCCATCCAAAAAAAAACAGAGCCCACATTTGAAATAGAATCATAAAAACGAACATGACTTTATTTTGAACAAAAAAAGTGATTTTAATACGATTTTTAGGTACTTATGTACCCCTTAAAAAAATTAAGTTTTATGGGTCATGGAGAGCCGAAGTACTTTGTTTCCATTGTACAAAACATTCTTTTTTTGTTAACGCTTATGCTTCCTTATGCTTAACGTGGGGAAAATGCGTATACCCGCCTTACACCATAGGCCAGCCCAGTGTGGGTTCCCTTTAGCTTCTCTGTGACGACCAAGCTACGGCTAATAAGCTCCTCCGCCAAACCTAACCTAACCTTTAATGCAAAATAAGTGACAGAATTGTCCATTAACCTGGTATTCCACCATAAACCTTTTTTTTAATTCTTTTCCCTTGCCTTCATACCACCCTTTTGTTGAATATATTAAAACAGTCCTATTGCACATTTTAATAAAAACGTAAAAACAGACGCTGTCCACAAACAGAAACCGGTACCTCAACCGCTTACTATCATTAAGAATCTATATTTCACATTAATTCTCCGACCTGCACGCCCCCGCACTAAGCGGATTGAAGGCTTATCGCCTTACGCCATTGCCCACCTATTTTTTTTTCAGTGGCAAAAAATAGTTATGGAAGATAAGGGCCGTATTTACTCCAAAATAAAAAAAAAACAACAACAAAGCTCTGATCCCCGAGGCTTTCTGGGGTTTTTCGAATTTCCGTGACTCAAATAATCAAGTCCCGAAAATGGGGGTCGCTGGGTGAAATTATACATCGTTATTACCATTATAAATCTTATTTTCGGTGTGACCACTCGTACGGAATAATAAGTGTACAATATTTTACGAGATGGATCTTACGGCGCGACTTGAGTTTAACCAACTTAATTGCCCCCTGAGTAGAAAATGACTTTAATATAGAGCACGAAAACCTTTAAAGAAACAGGTATACACTGTTTCTTTAAATGTGCCCTACTGCTTACGCAATGCCGTTTCAGTATGAGATCTGACATGCTTCTTCACATATCTTTATTCAGTATATTGAACAGTCTTCGCTGTTGCACGAAAGGATCGGTCCGTCCGGGGAAGTACCACGACCTCACGGAAGACCAGCGTGAAGTGTTATAAATCTGCGCATCGTCTGGTGAGTGAGTTAGCCGAGGCCAACTTTATTAAAATGGGGAAACGCAAGTGCAATCCCAAGGGTGTTGTCAATTGGCGGCGGTTATCACTTAACGTCGCGTTCCATCTTCTCGCACGAAAAAAAAAATTCGAGTCGATTAGAAAGCACTCGGTCACGTAAACAAGCAGCACTTTCGCGTGGGTGAATCCGCGTAATACGTGCGTGCACACGAGATGCCAATGTCTCGCAATAATGCGTCAACGTCGATCATGCAACCAACATTGGAAGAGGAAATGCAGTTTGTCTGAGTCTTATTGTTAATCCAGTACAGTCACATATAGCGATACTACCAGTTCTTCAAAGTACAATAGATAGTTTTATGACTGCCGTTAAAAACGAAAATGACAATTGTTCTGTGAACGTTTCAATGTTTGGTGTATGGATATGAGTTTTAAAAGGATTTATTTCGTAAACTTATTGCGTTCGTTTTATCCACTCGGCCAACGCTATATTAATAAATAATAGATTGGAATTTACCCGCTGCCTCTATAAATACAACGATGTTAGAGAATCAGGATTCTCGGTTCCTTGAAAAGCATGAAAATTGTGTACCCATTTCATGATTTAGGAGACAGTAGCCGGTAATACAAAGACAGACTTATAAGTTGATACTAATTGTTTATTCCGTAACGTTTACAAAGATTGAAAAAGAACTCTCTGTTAATAGTATCAGACAAATGTGACGGATTTTATTATTAAATAATTAGATAAATGCAAAAATTCATTACTTGAAGGAGCCCATCACAGATGTAAAATTTACTTGCATAATACTAAAAACATTCACCTCACTTTTATAAAAGTGTTATTTTTGTTCCTTATGCTTTCTATGCCGATTGTAAATAAGCTTTGGAGAGATGAAGATTAAACCAAGCCAAACATTATACAGTTAGATTGTAACTGAGTAACTAACAACTTTAACAGTATCTTCATCGGACGATGTCTTCGCTTTCAGTCCTGAAGACTGATTTAAAAGTAGCGCACTGAAATGCTAACTGTTGCCCAATCTCAATTGATTTAGGTCTACAAATTGGCGTTCGGGTTCGATGCGAACGTGTGTATTGAACGGCCGCCTCCGCTTTCAGAGCAGCGGCGGCTGTCGCACGGCGAGCGTAGCGGGCGCGAGCGCGGTGACGGTCGCGGGAGCGGGCGCGGGCGCGGGCGCGTGCGCGGCGCGCATGGCGAGCGCGGGCGCGCAGTACCGCGGCGGCACGCAGCAGTGGGGAGCGGCGTACGCGCCGCAGCCCTGCCGCTACCCGCCGCCGCAGCCGCAGGCCTACGCAACGGCCCAGAGCCCCTTCACGCCGCACCCGGTACGCACACAGACTCACCACACCCACACGATGACAATAACGTCGACTCCACCTCGGTAGTCCACTACGTTTTCAATATTGTGATTTAAAAGAGTTTTTGTGTCTTTGAGTGTGTCTTATTCTATTGGTAGTCCACATATTTTTTTTTAATTTTTCAAGTTTTTCTGCGTGAGTAATTTGCTTAGCCAATGGTCGCCAGCGGTGTTTCCGGATCCGACTTATGGACCTTCGAAAAAATCCTATTCCTGGCACTACGCCAGAATCTTTTGCTGATTATTTGTTTAGAATATTCTATGTATTAACTTAGTATTTTTGAAAGTATCTTATACTGCTGTAGCCGGGCGTAATACCATACTGTATAATATCTGAAAAACCTAAAAACAATATTACTACAGCCACAATTTTAGATTTCGGGTCAGTCTTAATATCTAATATTTAATAATTATTAAGTATTAAACACGTACTTTTATCATATTTATATAAACTATACGTACTTTTATTACTGCTTGTAATGTCCAGATTTAGCTTAGAATAGGATGTTTATGTAAAACTAATATAACTAAGTAATTACAGCAAAATAGCAACTAAACACGTGAGAGTACTATCGCAATATCCTCTCAACTTCCTACTTATTTCAGCATAGAGTCTTCGATAATTTTATTTGCAGCCCGTCTGGCTACGTTAAGTCAATTAACTATGACCCTCGAGGCAATTTTAAACTACATTCCCCACACAGATCATTGATGTTATAGTTTCGTTGAAAATGCAAGATGGTTCATTACAGTTATTGTTAGATTTATTATCTGTATTCTCAACATTTAAAAGAAACAGTTGAATTGATCTTATACCTATATGGTTTTTTTTGTTAGTTTTATAAATAGATGAAAAAGGGAAAAAAGTAAAGTAACAGCCTATACATGTCCCACTGCAGGGCAAAGGCCTCCTCTATATAGAGGGTATCAGGGCATAGTCCACCACGCGGCCCCACTGCGGATTGGCGGACTTCACATATTTTCGAAATATATTTTTTTTTTGTTATTATTTCGAAAATATGCAGGTTTCCTCACGATGTTTTCCTTCACCGCGGAGCACGTGATAAGTCAGCACTTAAAGTTAAAAACTTCATTGGTGCCGGCACCGGAGATCGAACTCAGCCGTGATAGCTCAGTGTCCGGGCGCTCGCCTTTAATTCAATATACTCGAAAAAGGGAATACAATGACTTAATAGAAATCCTTTTTTTTTTTTACCTTCCAAGATAATAAAACAAAAAATTCATCATTCCAACTATCAAAAGTGAGTATTTAGGAATAAGAGATAGAAATATTGTCCCTTATCAGATGGTAAAATTCTTATATCTCAACGAATTTCTAAAGTTGATGTTGTTATTCAGTTTGATACAAAGGCAAGCCTCTGTGACGCCGATTGAATTTGGCAAAGTTTCAGATGCATAACCATCGTACGTCACTTTACTAGCAGATTACGGAATTCTATACTACGAATGGTGAAACTCATATATACTGTAGAAATTTGTTTTACGTCAGCCATGGCGCAACATTGTAAACGAGTACTTGCAATAAAACGTTATTAAAAGTTTTCATGTCGTCTAATAAAATACAAATGTCTACACAATGGTAGTACAGGTATGCTTATAATTGGCTTTAATCTTAAATAAACTATATTGCTTTCACTATGATATTATTAGCATTTATAAGCCTAACCAAATGAATCTTTTACTGCCCGTATAAAATATTCGCTCTCATAAATCGTTAATATTATGAAAAAGTTATGGTCACTTATGGTCCATAACTTTTTCATAACATTATTCAATTATAATTTTGGATATAACGAGAATAATTTTGACATTAGTAACGTTAACGTTAACGTTAAGGCTGTTGCGTTTTTCTATTAGGAAATGTGTATCTAGTTGTTTTATAAAAGTTAACCCAGAAAGTAATAGAAAGGAAAAAATTATCGAATATCAAATCATCGCCTTTTATGCAACCTAAGGAGCGATTATTACATTCATAACTCATAATAAATGTCAGTAATACATCCACTATTATACTATAGGTACTATCGCAACGCCGACGCCACCGCGACTAAACCTAATGAGGAAAGTTCGGCAATGGATTTATGGCCGATGGAAACAATACAATATTATTTGACGTATGCTGACAGCTAAGGTCTTGGAAAAGTAAATGGTTATAACTGTTTATGGGATAGGGACGCATGATTTTAACTTAAAACACGTGTGTGTGTAGTTATGTACGCACATATAACAAGTTATATTTATATGAAGAAACTTAATAAAAGCAAACATGAAATTAACACCATGAAGTTAGTGAATAAAACTGTCTTTAGTAATGTGTCAAATATAAATAATATGTCAAAGAACCACAACATTGGTTCTATTCTAATAAAATTTTGTCTTAAACTTTAGTATTTAATACATTGCAAGTTGAGTGCAAAGTTGAAAGTTAAAAAAAATAGACAACCTTTTAGACTAAAATAATATAAAATTGCGATTAGATCATGTATAAAGTTCCCGCCCCAGACAGATTTCCATGTAATTTACGACCCGCGAAACTAAATCAAAGACTTCCGCAACGAGACGTTGTGCAATAATTAAGCTAGAACGGGCGCGTTGACACCGCTCCATCAATTTCTTCTAACCCCGCGTATCGCTCGTCATCCATAATACATCGCAACAATGTTGCGTGATTAATGTTCTTGGGCCGCTTAAACAGGGCAATGAGTAGTGATTTGCATAAAACTACTTAATGTACAAGTTTCGGAACGACTACTAATATACTTGGAAGCTATGCGCTTTATTCACTCGCGAAGCGTTACTTCGGGTTGAGCAGACAAGAGTATAAACAGCCTTAACAGCGGAGAGACGAGCATGGTCGCTTTTATTTAGACGAGGCGGGACAACATTACTGGGGGAAAACTTTCCCGACAAGATTCATTTTATTCGTACATATAGGATCACCGTCACTTTTAATTGACATTGAGTACGTGCGTTTTATTTATTTTCGGATAAGTGGCGGCGTTTCCTGGTTCTATACCAAAAAGCGTTATGTATTACTAGAGAGTTATCGAGTAGTTTTTGCAGAATATGTCGGATTAGCTTTCAAAACATCTGTTGGAATTTAATCATCGACTTAAGTAGAAAAATTTCAAAAGAGAAATCTTCAGTGGTCGTAATATGTTAAGTAAAGCCGAATTCTCAGGAATTCCTACAATTGTGGGCAGATGTTTTCAATGAGAAAAAACTTTATTTGCGAGACAAATAATATAATAATCGAAAGGTAATCAAAACTGTGACCTAACACAATGTTCTCGTATCAGACTAATCGGGTAATTATAGGTTAAAACGTTTAAAATGTTTCGTAAAAGATTCAAAAGGAACTCTACAGCATCAAATTAAATAGAAAACATGAAAGCATGCGCATACAAGATAGGAAACAAGCAATTTCAGACTGGATTTCTACAACGGCCTTCGTTCGAAGAAAATAAATAGCGAGCCGGCGTCGGCACGTTGAACGCGGCAAGGGCGTTAATCGTGGAACGGGACCGACAATGTTTTCGAGTGCCAATAGACTCCAAGGGTCGTTGGTTCCCCGCAGGGTTCGGAGGCAGCGGGAACACAAACCAGATGTCGCGCAAAACGCCCGGCCGCTGCAACCGAACGCCTCCCCTTCGCGGGGGTTCCGTGAAGGCGGTCTCGCGTCCTTATCGCTCCCTGAAATAAAATGTACCGCATCGTCCGTGTTTTATTACTGCACTCTCCGTTCAGGATTTAACTCGCTGCGTCGTCAAGGAGCGCTAGGGTACCGTATTGGATATTTAACGCGACAGTAACTTTGACTGCGTTGAATGAAAATTGAGATATCTATCAAACGGGAATAAGGGAATATGATCTAGTGCATATTCCCTTATTCCCTATAGAATGCCTTCTAGGTTATACACAAATAGTTACTAGTTGCTAAATTATTTAATCAATTATTTTACTTTAGTTTTAGAGCATAGTATAGCTAAGGGAGGCTTGGCGCAACGATGTGACATATATTTGTCGATATGACATCGTAGAGTAAAGACCATGGTGTAGAATAGAAAAAGCATGAAGAAAATAATTTTGGAGACATCCTTTTAAATTCTAAATTTAATGTAAAAAATATCAAGGCTGTGTAATCATACACGTTCATTTGAAATATAAATTATTGTGCCGATAAAAAATTTCGCTTGTAAAAATATGTAAAGACTTCGTATTTTCAGTCTTTTAAAAAGTTTGCCTTGTACGGAACCGTTTGATCCCGTCTTATTAAAGCTCTAAGATGCTTGTATACAAAGAAAAAGTCTTACCAAAGGACCAGGAGAATGTACCGAGCGACCGTAGACGAGGTATTTTCTTTAGAACGACTATACGGTATATTTTAAAGAATTTCACGAGTTTCGATTCAGCTTTTTATACTCTTTTTAACATGTTGCAAGCTATTGGTCACGAAGTTAGATTAAATTTGAGTTTGAAGTTAAATTGAGATGCATTAGCCCGTTTTCAAGAAAAAACATTTACATATCACGGTACACTGCTATTCTATTTTTAAATGAAAGTAAAAAGTATAGTAATAGCGTATAAATATCCCGATGGCAAAGGCAAAGTCCACCACGCGACGCCACTGTGGATTGACGGACTTCACAAATCTTTGAAATTTTCATTATTCTCACGGTGTTTCCTTCGCCTCTGAGAACGTAATAAGGCAGCACTTAAAATTTACAATTTCATTGATGCCGGCACCGGGGATTGAACTAAATTTGTTCGAGTATATTAAAGTAAAAGCGAGCGCCCGGACAATGAACTACCACGGCTTATTTTTAAATGATTATTTCTAATTAATTAAACTCTTTCAACTTAGAAAAAAATATGTAAAAAGTAATGTAAATAAAATATAAACTTGCTACTAGTAAAAACTTTGCTTCTATTTATTTAAAATAAAAT